TTCTGCTCTGTGGAAATGTTACAAAGACAGGAAAGTGAAATAAGTCTAAACGACGGACTGACAGAAAGCAGAACATTGCAGATTCGGACACACAGAAAAGTCCCTATAGTGCTGCTCTGAATCTGAAGTGATGACGCAGAGGTTTCAGCACAGGCCGTGTGGAAATACTACGGCTGTGCAAGGTATAAAAAGGGGGAAAGGGTTGACGATGATGCTGTGCATCTGACATTAGCTCACAACAATCATGACCATGGGGAGGGTAAGTCGAGCTCTAAAGCTGCAAGAAGAGCAGAAGCATCAGAAAGTCTCTTAGTGACCAATGTTCCATGTTTGCTGCAGATCATTTTCTACGAGGAGAAGAACTTCCAGGGCCGGTCCTACGAGACCAGCAGCGACTGCCCGGAGCTGACCTCCTACCTGAGCAGGTGCAACTCCTGCAGGGTGGAGAGCGGCCTCTTCATGGTCTACGAGAAGCCCAACTTCATGGGCCAGCAAATCCTGGTGAGGAGGGGCGAGTACCCGGAAAACCAGCGCCTGATGGGATTGAGCACCAGCGACTGCATCCGATCCTGTCGCATGATCCCGATGGTGGGTTAGAGGAGGACCTTCTTTTTTAAAGTTTTGAACATCAGAAAGCCGTTGTGACTCATATCTCTGTTTTACGTTTTCTCCATCCGACAGCACCGGGGTCCCTTCCGAATGAGGATCTATGAGAGGGAGAACTTCGGAGGCCAGATGCACGAGCTGCTGGAGGACTGCGACAACATGATGGACCGCTTCCGCATGTCCGAGTGCCAGTCCTGCAACGTGATGGATGGCCACTGGCTGATGTTCGAGCAGCCCAGCTACAGAGGCCAGATGCTGTACCTCAGGCCGGGGGAGTACAGGAACCTCAGGGACATGGGCATGAGCCACCTGACCAGGTTCAGCTCCATCAGGCGCATCATGGATTCCTGTTAGGAGTCCAAATGTACCAGCTGGGAAAATAAAACCAACTGAATTCTGAACATTTCTCAGTCTGGTCTTCTTGCTTTGCTTGTTGCATGAATAAAAAAAATCACGTCTCCAGCAGAGACGGGTGACTGTTTAGCTCAGTAATGAGTTTACACACCGATCTGAGATTGTAGCTTCAATTAAACTGTAATAAACCAAGGTGAAAGTCTATTTATAACTATAACCAAGTTAACCATGTGATGCATATTTGAAATAAATGCAGGATTAGCATCTGCAATAGGTCCCAAAACACTGAAAATTAGACAAAATCTCTGTAAAAACAGAACTCCCCGCTTTGGACTTTTGCTTTTGTTGAACGAAGCTTTTTCTTTCCCACAAAGACCAAAAATCAAGCTAATAAATCTGTGGATTACCCTTTTTTATTGTACTTTTGGTTGAAAAGATTCAAATAGTTTGCCCATGGAGCTTCTTTTCCTTTAAAGCTGCAAAATCAGTAAAGGTGTTTATGCCAAACCCGACTCAACAGGCCACAAACCTCCCTGATCAAGAGTTAGGACGAAGCTTTCAGGCGGAATAATCCAACTTTCCCGGCTGCAAAAGCACCACAGATCACATTTTGTTTTGTATTTTTGCCACATAAGCAAAAGCCACTGTGCATCCATTTGTAAGTCAGTCAAAAACAGAACAAAAATCCCAAATTCAGACTCAGCCGCAGATAAAACGCCAGAATTCCTGAATATTTTCCATGCAGGCGTGCTGCTGCTGGCTGTTCCAGCACCTGTGCTGTACAGAGGCATCATCCGGCTGCAACAAAAGCCAATCAAACCACACCAAGCTGTTTTTGCTGATATGTAAATCTGCCTCATCTGCGTACACTCGCCCCAGGCTGCATAAATACTTGGATGGAGCCACGGTGCAGGATGAGGTTTGCAGTGCATCAAAATGGGGAAGGTGAGATCAGCGTCCAGAGGGAATTAACAGAAACATTTCTGGGTTTGTGAGATTTGACTTTCCGCACACAGATCACTTTTTTTGAGGAGAAGAAATTCCAGGGCCGCTGCTACAACTGCAGCAGCGACCGCGCTGACCTGCACACGCACTTCAGCCACTGCAGCTCCATCTGGGTGGAGAGTGGCATTTGGGTCATCTATGCCAGGCCTAGCTACAAGGGTTTCCGGTGCATCCTCACCCCTGGGGAGTACGCCGACAACCAGCAGTGGGTGGCCTTCAGCGACCCACTGCCGAGTCATAAAGAACGTTCGACTCCGCCCCCGGCCGCTGTTAGGCCAAAGCGAGGAGAGTTCCACGAAGTGCTCCATTTCTGCGAACTAACTCACAAACGACTCACCTTCTCCAGCTGAATCCAATCCCTTACAGCTTCACCCCCAATTCCTTCAGGCACATCTTGCTCTTTCTGGAATGACGGACACGGGGGATTTGTGAGTCAGCTCGCAAAAATGAAGCTTGGAGCTTCACCGAACTTTTATTGAGTTTTAAAAAGTGTCAGGATCCGTGTTATTTGGCAGAGGTCCATATTTGCATCCTGTGATTGCAGGTTTACGGCAGCTCCTGGAAGTTGAGGCTCTATGAGAAGCCGGACTTCGGAGGACAGATGTTTGAGTGCTTTGACGACTGCCCTTCGGTCTACGATACCTACAAGCATGGATGTAATTTTCACTTTAGAAGTGGGGGGGACACTGGGGTGGGGGGGTGGGTGTATCTTTACAGTATGCTCTAATGGGAAACTGGCTTCAACACAAACGGTTGTTTTCCGCTTGGTCCTAGAGCTCAATCAGTGTCAATTTAATATAAAGTAATATTGTTTTTGGATGGTAAAAAGTGCAGGGGTCAAAACTTGTCTTTGGAAAAAGTGGGGGGGACATGTCCCCCCTGTCCCCCCCAAAATTACGTCCATGCCTGCAAGATGAACGAGATGCACTCCTGCGTGGTGGCGAATGGTACGTGGGTGCTGTACGAACTCCCCAACTACATGGGTCACCAGTACGTGGTGGAGCGAGGGGATTACCGCCAGCACGGTGACTGGGGGGTGTCCTCTCCCGGCATCGGCTCCTTCCGCAGGATCACTGAGTTTTAACCAGAAATTCTTCAACCAATAAATTTAAGGCAAATTCTGACCCGTTTCTTCATGAAGTTTCTGAAAAAATGACTTGAAAAAATGTCAGTCATGAAATGGCAACACAGAGTGATTTACGGATTGTTTAACAATGTGATGAAACACAAAAATATGACTGTATGTGTAACTTCTCATAAAAAGAATAAACTATTAAAATAAACTGAGATACATTTGAAAAATGTAGAAAGCCAGAAACACAATTTTAGACATTTGCAACACAAACCCGTTTATTTTATGTTTCGTCCAATCACAGACTGCCTTCTAGAGGCAAGGTTCAGTTTGTCCTTTTGAGGCCACCGTACAAATCCTACAGTTTTCTTGTGAGTTATTTAGAGTAAACGTAAAACATGGTACTAGACTTGTTGAAAGGGGTGTTTACACACATGCATATTTATGCTGCTGCATAAACCAACTGAACATTTATTTTGATCCTGAGGATGTAAAGTGGGAGAAAACAGAGAAAACATCCTGTGATCAAACTTTTACAGAGAACATTTTACGCAGAACTCACCTGTTGCATCATTTTATGCTGACATGTGGGTCTAAATGCTCTAAACGTGAATAAAAACCATCCATCTAATTTTTGTGAGTGTTTGGCTCAAGTTGTCTCAGAGTCCCTTAGTGTGACATCACAAAAAGGAAAATTAGCATAAAACACCCCCTCACACTTTGAGCCCGTCCCAGATATCCAAACACCTCAGGGGTGGGTGGGCGTGGCCAGCAGCAGCTTGTTTTCTTAAAGTGACAGAGCCCTGAAACGGCTCATTCTGGAAGGTACTGAAACTGTCAAGAAGGAAGCTGATGAAACATCTAAATGCACGAGGGGTTTAGCACAAAGAACTTCAAGAAATCTTGTGTCGCCCAGAGAACCATTAGGACTGATATAGCAGCTTTAAAGTTGTAAAACACACAAAGGATGCCCGTTTTTGTGAAGGTGTCAGTTTAAGCAGGATGTGTTGGTCCAGGTTGGAGATTATTTCCTCTAAGGCAGGGGTGTCAAACTCATTTTAGCTCAGTGGCCACATTGAGGAAAATATAGTCTCAAGTGGGCCGGACCGGTAAATTAAAAACAACTTCAGATTGTTTTCTTTGTTTTAATACAATCAACATAAAACAAAGCTGGAGCCTGAGGACAGTGTATCCAAAATAGAAGTACAACATCACTACAGGGAGTGCAGAATTATTAGGCAAGTTGTATTTTTGAGGAATAATTTTATTATTGAAAAACCACCAAGTTCTCAATGAACCCAAAAAACTCATTAATATCAAAGCTGAATGTTTTTGAAAGTAGTTTTTAGTTTGTTTTTAGATTTAGCTATTTTAGGCGGATATCTGTGTGTGCAGGTGACTATTACTGTGCATAATTATTAGGCAACTTAACAAAAAACAAATATATACCCATTTCAATTATTTATTTTTACCAGTGAAACCAATATAACATCTCCACATTCACAAATATACATTTCTGACATTCAAAAACAATACAAAAACAAATCAGCGACCAATATAGCCACCTTTCTTTGCAAGGACACTCAAAAGCCTGCCATCCATGGATTCTGTCAGTGTTTTGATCTGTTCACCATCAACATTGCGTGCAGCAGCAACCACAGCCTCCCAGACATTGTTCAGAGAGGTGTACTGTGTTTTCCCTCCTTGTAAATCTCACATTTGATGATGGACCACAGGTTCTCAATGGGGTTCAGATCAGGTGAACAAGGAGGCCATGTCATTAGTTTTTCTTCTTTTATATCCTTTCTTGCCAGCCACGCTGTGGAGTACTTGGACGCGTGTGATGGAGCATTGTCCTGCATGAAAATCATGTTTTTCTTGAAGGATGCAGACTTCTTCCTGTACCACTGCTTGAAGAAGGTGTCTTCCAGAAACTGGCAGTAGGACTGGGAGTTGAGCTCGACTCCATCCTCAACCCGAAAAGGCCCCACAAGCTCATCTTTGATGATACCAGCCCAAACCAGTACTCCACCTCCACCTTGCTGGCGTCTGAGTTGGACTGGAGCTCTCTGCCCTTTACCAATCCAGCCACGGGCCCATCCATCTGGCCCATCAAGACTCACTCTCATTTCATCAGTCCATAAAACCTTAGAAAAATCAGTCTTGAGATATTTCTTGGCCCAGTCTTGACGTTTCAGCTTGTGTGTCTTGTTCAGTGGTGGTCGTCTTTCAGCCTTTCTTACCTTGGCCATGTCTCTGAGTATTGCACACTTTGTGCTTTTGGGCACTCCGGTGATGTTGCAGCTCTGAAATATGGTCAAACTGGTGGCAAGTGGCATCTTGGCAGCGGCACGCTTGACTTTTCTCAGTTCATGGGCAGTTATTATGTGCCTTGGTTTGTCCACACGCTTCTTGCGACCCTGTTGACTATTTTGAATGAAACGCTTGATTGTTCGATGATCACGCTTCAGAAGCTTTGCAGTTTTAAGACTGCTGCATCCCTCTGCAAGACATCTCACTATTTTTGACTTTTCTGAGCCTGTCAAGTCCTTCTTTTGACCCATTTTGCCAAAGGAAAGGAAGTTGCCTAATAATTATGCACACCTGATATAGGGTGTTGATGTCATTAGACCACACCCCTTCTCATTACAGAGATGCACATCACCTAATATGCTTAATTGGTAGTAGGCTTTCGAGCCTATACAGCTTGGAGTAAGACAACATGCATGAAGAGGATGATGTGGACAAAATACTCATTTGCCTAATAATTCTGCACTCCCTGTATTAATAAAACACCTGAAGTGTACTTGAAAATTTGAAAAACTAAAATACATTCCTTAGTGATTCAAAGAGCTTACAGATCACATGGCTAGATCAGTTTCATGCAGCACTTAAAGTACATTTGACTAATTTTACTTAACATCTTTTAGCTTTCACCAGCACATCGACATCAAGCCACATCCTGAGTGGCAGCCAACTTCTGGTGGAGCTTGAGGAGAGTGTAACTAAAATAGTTCAACCACAAAATCACTATTAATCAAAGCACCTGAAGTATATTTTAAAATTTGAAATATAAAACTATTTAATTCCTCAGTTTATTTTCACTCTACATTGTAAAGTATGAAAATAAAGTTTACACAACCATCTCATGGGCTAAGTTTAGCCTGTTTGCGGGCCGGATCCGGCCTGCGGGCCGGATGTTTGACACCCTGCTCTAAGGGAAATCACAGGAGCCATGTCTTTCTATCCAGGTTCCTCTGATTATCCATGACCTTCTCCAGGTCAATCTGGGGATCCCAAAGTATTCCCAGTCCAGGGATAATTTGTAATCCCTCCGGTGAAGGGACATCCTATCCAGACCACCTCAGCTGACTCCTTTCTATGAGGAGGACGGCCGATGGTTCTACTCTGAGCTCCTTGCCTCCATCTGTATCCAGGACAACCATTTTATTTATATCCAGGATCTTTTCCTTTTGGTTACGATCCAAATTTCAGGACCATTGGGGATGGTTGGAATGATTGGGCCAGGAAATTTAGAGCTTCCCTTTGTCTCAGCTTCTTCTTTACTACAGATCAAAGTCCTCATTACCAATCCGTTGTTTAATCTCCCACTCCATCCTACCATCACTACCGAGCAAGGCGTCGACTCACTCCCAACCCAAAGGAAACATTTTCCAGCCAAGAACCATCATGTCTTTTGGTGGAACCTCAGACAACTGTAAAGGTTGTGGCTTTAAAGGTATGGAACACTAAAAACATGTTTTAATTATTATTTCTGATTCTAACGGGCCACTCTGAGTGTTTCATGCAAGCTGAACATGAAAATAGTCTCCTGCAGTAGCTTCTGATAGAAAACAGATGGTGAAACTCTAGGATAGAAAATCCTGACAGATCTATGTCACACTGTCACTTAAGATTCATGGACTCACCCATCTGGACTCACGATGGGGAAGGCTGCTGTTGGTTTAGCGTCCAGGAAACAGCGGAGAACTTCTCAGCGATTAGAAACTAACCATTAGCATTAGCAGCTCTACCACATGGCAGAACTCCTCTGCAGAGCAAACAGAGTCAGTGGTAGTGTCATGTGGCTGTTAGCCAGTCAGATGAGAGATGTACAAATATCAGGAAGTAACGGCGCTTTCACATCAAGGCCAGCACGGAGCAGACTGGGAGTATATATATATATATATATATATATATATATATATATATATATATATATATATGAGATAATAATGTCCTGTTTGTGGCACATTAGAATATGTGAGGGGCAAACTTTTCAAGTGGGTGGTGACCATGGTGGCCATTTTGAAGTCAGCCATCTTGGATCCAACTTTTGTTTTTTTTTCAAAAGGAAAAGGGTCATGTGACACATCAAACTTAATGGCAATTTCACAAGAAAGACAATTGTGTGCTTGGTTTAAACGTAACTTTAATAGTTCTTGAAACAAGTGCATCAGAGCCCCACCCCTCAGTACGACTTACAAGGCATTCATTCATAAACTAGAGACCACTGCAAAGGATTTTAAAGAGCAAGTCACCCCCAAATCACATTTTTTTTGCTGATAAACTATATAAAGGAGTGTCTAATCATGCTACAGACACGTGTAGTCAATAATTTGGCAGTTCAGTGCATCTTGGTTAAAATTCAAATATTCTGCCTAAAACTGTCAGTGTTGCGCCGTCGTCAGGGGAAAATTCTGCACTGTATTTGAATTTAAATCTGCCACCGCTATTGGCTAAGAGGTATGCTATGATGTCATCTGGTATATTATGATGTCATAATGCCATTGTGAGCCTGTGTGTGTGTGTATTTGTTAGCGGCTCCGCCCTCTTGGTCTGCCAAGCAACAGCATTTGTTGCATTTTTCAAACATGAAGTGGGAGTGAAGTAAGTTTCTTGTAGGGGGTGACTTGCTCTTTAATAAAAGAGTGAACCATCTTTGGGGCTGCAACAGAACCATCAGGTGACATGGTCATAAGAACCAAACATAGTCCTGTAGTCTTCTGTTCCATGACTCGGACTAGAGCCACCAAGTCACTAAACTCAACCAGTCCTTCAGATGAAGACAAATCTACATGTATGGTACTTTTTCTCTTTACAAACCCCCATCAGTCGCAGGGATCGAACAGCTGATCTTGTTGGGTGTGAAAGGGTTTTGTTGTGCCTGAGTCCTTGCTGCCTTGCCGCTGGGTGACTGACTCAGCTCTAAACCCAGGTGTCCTGCAGTGCCCCTGTTGTTGTCAGCACGCTCTGCTGCATCCACCGGTGCTTTGCACTTTGTGTTTTGCTTTGTTTGACAAGTCATTGTTTCAGAACAATGTGATCAGCCTGGATAAATATTTGATTCGCTAATTGAAAAATCCAGCTGACACAAAAGCCAACCATGTGCTTGGTTTTATTGTTCTAGTTGTGTATGAAGAGAACACTGGAGGTGGCTGCTTTAAAGCTTTGTTTCACACAGTCAAACCTTTTGGTATTAACCATGGAGAAGGTACTCGCTCATGTGTATTTTCTGTATTTGTACATGTTTTTGGACTGTTTTGACGAAACACTTCTGCTTTCAGATCGTTTTCTACGAGGAGAGAAATTTTAAGGGTCGCTACCACGAGTGCAACAACAACTCCAGCGACCTGCACACGTACGTGAGCCGCTGCAATTCCATCAAGGTGTCAGGAGGCTTCTGGGTAGTCTAGGAGAGACCAAACTGCATGGGCCACCAGTATGTTCTGAGTCCTGGAGAGTATCTGGATTACCAGTACTGGCTGGGCATCAGCGAAGCCATAAGGTCCTGTCGGGTCATCAGACACGTACGTCTAGTCAGAGCAAATCGGAGCCAGTTTTCTGTCTTCGGCAGTTAATCGGACATGTCTGTTTTCTCCAGGTTGGGAATTCATGGAGGATGAAGATTTGGGAGAAGCCCAACTTTGAGGGCGAGTCCATGGAGCTGTCGGACAACATGCTGACCTTCCTTCCACGAGCACTGGCAGAGCCGAGACGTCCCCTCCTGCAAAGTGTTGGAAGGGGCCTGGATCTTCTTCGAGCAGCCCAACTACAGGGGGCACCAGTTCCTTCTGGAGAGGGGCGAGTACAGGCGCCACTCCGAGTGGGGCAGCAGGCAGCCCGGTGTTGGGTCCATCCGCCGGGTCAAAAACTGAACGGTGCAAATAAAGAAATAAAATCACAATACAAACGTAATCGAGTCAAATCTCATTTCTTCAGTCTGAGCCGTGGTCCTTCATCGTTACCGTTACAGAGGAAACTGTTTACGACAAACACAAAGAGAATCGATGTTTGGGCGTTAAACAGATCCCCAGAGTTAGGCTAACATCAGGCAGGTGTGTGGCCTAAAGGTGATTTTGTTTCATCACCTAAACTTAAACAAGAACCAGCAGGATACTCCCACACCTTCCATCGCCAGACTGGGACCGGCTGCCAGCCCCGACCTGCCCCTATAAAGGCCCAGAGCTGAAACAATGGCAGAATCTGCTGGTGGCTCATTTGAATGACAGTAATTGTGCTGATTGAGCATTTCATCAGCCGTTATATAAGGGTGGAGCATCAGGGATGCAGAGTCAACCAGGGGCTTTAATTTGATTCGCTGTGGTGGAACATAAGGTGATCATGGAGCGAACAGGGAAGGTGAGTTCTGATGCATCCATGGATTCAGCAGGATGGTTTAATTCCACATTTGGATCTCATCTGTGTTTGTAGATCTTCTTTTATGAGGACAAGAACTTCCAGGGCCGTTACTACGAATGCAGCAGCGACTGTCCCGAGCTGAGCTCCCACTTCAGCCGCTGTAACTCCATCAGGGTGGAGGGGGGCACCTGGGTGGTCTATGAGAGGCCCCAGTACACGGGCTCCCAGTACATTCTCATGAGAGGGGAGTATCCCACCTTCCAGAGCTGGAACGGCTTCAATGACTCCATCCGCTCCTGTCGCCTTATCGGTTACGTAAGTCGTGGGAAATGTGGTCATTGTCTCCGAGGACGTAGCTTCATCACATCTGACGTTCACCTTCCTTCTCTGTTTCATACCCAAGCCATCCAGCAGGCACAGGATGCGCATCTATGAACGTCCTGACTTCGGCGGTCAGATGATGGAGCTGAGCGAAGACCTGCCCAGCCTGCAGGACCGCTGGCGCTACCGGGACATCCACTCGGCCCACGTCCAGGAGGGCACCTGGGTCTTCTACGAGAGTCCCAACTATAGGGGGCGCCAGTACCTGCTGGAAAAGGGGGAATTCAGACGTCACTCCGAGTGGGGCGCTCTCCATCCGGTTGTGGGCTCCATCCGGCGTGTCGTAGACTTCTAAAAAAATCCACCTTTACTCTGTTTTCTGATCTTTTTCTGACTAAACTTTCTCCACAAATAAACTCAAGAGTGACGAGCTGAACGCCTGTTTTCATCGGACTGATTCCTTCGGTTAGGGTTCCTTCAAACTTCAAATGGGTCACATGACGCTGGATCATTTCCTGTTTCTTAAAAGCTCTGATTTAACCACCAAGTTTCTAGCAAACTGCTTACTTCTGTATCTTTAACTCTTCAAGTTGGTCAAAATTTACTTTTTTGAATTTCTTGAGCAGGTTTCAGCAAACTCAGTCAGAAAAAAATACCTTTTTTTGAGTTTAAGAAGCAAAAACCATTAGAATGCATGAAAACAAAAGTGTTTTACATTAAAATCCAATAGAATGATTACTTTACACAAAAGTTATGACCCTATAAATCAGCAGAATTTGACACTGGTGAAGAAATAAATAATGACTTATTAAACTGTGGTTTTCTTCAGCTGAGAAAGGTTTAATAAGCTTCATGATTTAAAAAGGTTTACTGGGAGACTCACTATTAAAGGTTCCAGTGACACCTAAATCTGAAAACGGTGTTGTTGGCGTCACCTGGTGGTGAAAATGAGCGAAACCAATAACGTTTTTCAGCACAGGTGTCCAATCCTGGTCCTGCAGGGCCACCATCCTGCTTGTTAGAGGGTCATCTGCTTCAACACACCTGGTTTTAGTCAGGATGAGTTGCTGGAGAGGTGTGTCGGAGCAAGGAAACAACTCAAACATGCTGGACGGTGGCCCTCAGGGATCAAATTTGAACACACCTGTTTTTCATGCTGCAGTGAAAAGTGAAACTTGATGGGAAAATGTTATAAAACGTGTGACTCAGTCTTGTTAGTGAGTACTTATCAGTGAAATCAGGTATTTTTTTTACCTTTAAGTCTTATTTTCTTGTTAGCTTTATGCAGGTTCACCTGAATCCTCATTTGTAGTAAAGTAGATTAACTTTAAGGAAGCTCAAATACGTCATGTAAAAATATATAATCATCATTTCCATCCTCTCAGATACAGAAACTTGTTTAGCAGAACCACAACAAGGACAAGCGTAGACGCAGCTCTAAGACCAGAGAGTAATTTCCTGTCACAGGAAACATTGCGTCACGCCGGTCGACCTGCCAAAAGGGAAGGACGTAAATCGGTGGTGTGGTCATGTAAACAAACGCAGACGGTGTGGTGCTCAAGTAAACAAGAGAGACGTTGCAGATCAGTAACAGAGCTGCTGAGCTCAGCTGGTGTTTGAAACTGGGCCGTTTATCTCACACACACACACACACACACACACACACAATCAGGGTTCAGACAACACAAATATAAAAGTTTCCTCTATGATTGTGTCTTGGATCTGTTTCCTGGGAGAGGTGCTCTAATTAAAAATATGCCTCCCACTCTCAACCTTGAAATTCTGAAGACCCGAGGAGATGGGCGAACAATGAAACCCCACAGAACAGATAAAGTCAAGGCCGCTGAGCGGGATGAGAAGGGTTTTCATTCCTGACTCTTTTAGGGAGAACAAGCCCAGAGAGGCAGATTCACTTTAACTGCAGATTTAAAACAGGAAGTGACAAACATTTAGCCCAAAAAGGAACATTTCATTGTTTTGTATCAGAGCTTTAATCTTCTTATTTGGATTAAACTCCTGACAATAACAGTTTTTAATGCTGTCCATTCTGCCCTGCCATCAGTCATGGAGGACATGAGATTTATCAAACAATCACGTGAAACCTTCGTCGCTGCTGCTGCTACTGAAGTGGAAGCAGAACAAAGTGGAATTAAAAAGAGAAACGGGTCAGCCGTTCACATGACCGTTCATGTGTGAGGCCAGACTGGGATTCTGACACTTTAATCAGATACAACCACAGATTGTTTCCTCACCAGCAGATTCAAGGGCCTTTCTAAGACAGACAATGGCAGCAGGAAGATGGACTGATCAGTCTGCGATCATTCTCTAATTTCCCTCTGGGATTAATAAAGTATCTTTGAATTGAAGTGAATTGAATTGAATCACAGCAAGCACATCTGGAGTAGCCTGCACCTATAGTCTTTTCTGTCACCACTCTTTCTGTCAATTTAGGGAGAAATTGTGATTTTCTATTATTTCCTAAAGACAGAATCACATTTACAAGTACATGTTTAGGAAAAAATATCATTATAAAAATAATTCTATGTTTATATATTTAAATAATTTAAATTACATTAAAGTTAGATACAATTTCCGCTATTTGTACTATTTTTTTATGGCGCTGGCCCTTTAAGAATGCTTGGGATTCATGAATGAAACGCAACCATTCATAAAAAACACAAGAAAAACGTCAGAGCGCTCTCGAAGGCGATTGGCATGTTCCTTGACTGACAACTTCTGTTAGCCAATGGGAAGCCAGCATTGCCCCTTTGCATCAGCGAGCTCTTCATTGACAAAAATCCTCAGCCGAGTGTTGATTCTAGATGCTGCAGGCGATGTAGGCGAGAAAAATCTGCGTCCGCTGCTTGTGACCACTCTTCCGACACCAGCTTCACTGAGCAGGTGAGATTTACTGATGTTTGTGTTGTTGTTTTCGCGGAGGCTAGCTGTGGTTTTCTTTAACACCGTTTACAGACGTAGCGCGGCGTCGCGGGTTGCTGCTGGCTGTGAAGGGAGCAGAAACGGGTTAAGAGGCGAACGCCATTTTCTAAAAATCAAAGGCGACATGCGTCCATTTCCCCCGCATCTACCACCGGCTTTGCGGGGCGTCCGTTCCACTCGTAGCTGCTTTTGACGCTCTATCAGCGGTAGGACTCTTTCTCCGCGCTCCGTGATGAATTTTTCAATGATAAAGCTATGCCCCTCTTCACCTCCTCCTCCTCCTCCTCCTCCTGCTGAGAGGATCAAGTTTCACTCCATTGAGGAAAAACAAGGAGGTCCGAGCGCGAGCACGGCTATTTCATGTGCGTCACGCCAAACTCCATTCAACTTTCTCCTGATTTTGTGTTCGGCGCGTGTACGTAAACACCTGTATGAAGAGAAGGTTCGGGTGTCGTTGGTGTTTGTTACCCGCGTTTAAATCACAGCTTTCTGCTCGCTGATGATGCCGGAGCCATCAGTTCCAGTGGGAGGAGTCCTGCGTGTTTAATAAATTGACTCCTTATTTAAAATTTCATGAATTAAATTAATTTTAGACATGTAAAAATCAACAGACATTCCTGAATGTATTTACTGTAAATGTGAATCAACACATAGATGTAGACAACGAGTCTCCGCCCCCTCCTGTTGTTGGAAAGTGAATCTCTATGGAGGTGGCCATGTTGTTTGAACCAGTCTGCACCTTTACACTGTGTTGTGTTGACTTGGCTGCTCACACTCAGGTGTTTGTAAGCATTACAAAAGTCCATTAAATCACCTGATGACGAAGTCGGCATAGGCAGCAGATATAATTTATATACTCAAAACCTTTCATACCTGTCCCTTTTTGTCTTTAACTTATGTCCTTCTGTTTGAACTTTTGAGGCCGTGTTGAGTTATTCGTTTAGAACATATTCGAGCAATTTGAATAAAAAAATTCCTCTCCAGGCTAAGAGTCAGGGAAAATGTCCCATTTGTTTACATAGATAAGGTGGAGCTTATCGGTTACTGGAATCGTCCACCAGAGGACGTTTGTCTTGTTTCGGCTTAAAGAGGGACTGCACACCATCAGAAAACGTAACTCCACCCCTAGTCAAGATTTGAAAAATGCCATGAAAGTGGGTGTTGCAAGGAGGCACAGAGTGGCATGGCCAAGTGTGGTGAATTTCCATCCTCAGAGGGAGGGGGGAGTGGGAGGAGGCTGTACCAATGGCGTGAAATTGTTCCAGCCCAGTCAATCACAAGTTTAAAATGCAGTAGCTGCTGTTCTGCCACAGGAGGCAGCACTAAGACGTTTTTAGACCTAGGGTGTTTCTCAGCGCCAAGGCGCTTGGCCTTGCGAGGCAATGTCTTTCCTTGGTCAAAGAAAACGGTTACATGGAACAGACTTGCATTATGTGACCACAGCGGTCACGTAACGTCATGTGACACAGGAGATAACATTATATTTTATACATATTAGTTTCAATATCAATATATAACAAGCCTTTTACTTTTTAAATTGTGTATATGTTTGTTCAATTAAATATGTAACTGCGTTACTACCCACTGGCCACCGAAGCTGCAACTACTAAGCAACTAACCAACCATAGATAACTTCTTTAGATAAATAAAAAACATTTTAAATTAGCTGGCTTACTATTAAACTTGCAAATTGTCCCTGAAGTAGCTGCTGGCTTCTGCTCCGCCGTCCTTTTGAAAATACTGCAGTGTATTGTGAGTAATTTTTGACCAAGGCTAGGCTACAAGACACCTCCTGTGTATCCTTGCTCAGCTAGCTAAACGGCTAACAAACGGAGGGTCTAAATGCTGACAGTGTTTGTCCTGAGGACGTTTATATTTCTGATCGCCATTGCATTTTCTTTAACTTGTCAGTTTCTGCGTCCCCACCTACTGCTCGCCGTATGGTTAGTTCTCGTTTTCTTAATGAGAGCACAGCTAGCAATTTTTCTGCTGCTTTTGATCCACCCTGTTCTTCTGATAACGACCCAGATTCCTTAACTTCTCAGTTTAACGAGCACTGCCTCTCCATTCTGGACAACATCTGTCCTGTCAGAACCAGATCAGTTCCTGCAGTGAACCCTACTCCGTGGTTCGGCAGCGTGAAGCGCCAATGCAGACAAGTTGAGCGCTTGTGGAAGAAAACCCATCTCTTCGTCCATCTGCTGCACCTAAAGGATCTTCTGACATCTTCTGCAGTCAGAGATGCGAGAGTTTCCTATTTTTCCAACCTGGTGTCCCAGAGCAAAGGGTGCTGTTTTACACCATCAGCAGCATTGTCTCTCCTACAGCCTTCATCCACTCTGTTGCAGACTGTGAGAACTTTCTGTCTTTCTTTGTGGACAAAGTCAATAAGGTCAGCTCTAGCATCTCTCCCTCAGCCTTCTCTGCTTCTCCTGACTCCAGCCAGGCCCATCATCCTAGATAGCTTCTACTCATTTCCCTCTTTCCTATTCACACTCTCTCTCTCTCGTTCTTTGCTTTTTTTTTATCATAATTGTTTATTCTTTGCTCATTTTAAATGTATTTTTAATCGTTTTCTAAATTCTTTTTTATATTTTGTTTTTGTGAAGCGCCTTGTGATTTTTATCTTGAGAAGCGCTGTAGAAAAGATCTTTTCTTCTTCTTCTACGGATGTCAGTAGCAGCCGTCATACGCTGTCGAAGAAGACGCAAATTAGAGATGTCATGTTCCGATATCGATATCAGAAGTAATTCGATATCGGCCCAAAAACACTATCGGATGCTATCGGCCTGTATCAAAAATCTCCGATATAAGCAGCACATTAAGATTCACATTTTTGCAACCAATGGTTAAAAATATTTGTAATTTGTTTCATGCTTACTGTTGCTGGCTCTTGTCCTCCGATTGAGTAAAATCACTTGATCAAGTCTTTCATTCATTCCACACTATAATAGGTAAAAGTACGTATGATTTGTGCTGATATCGTATCAGATTGATATCGGTATCGGTCGATGCTGAAGGCTGCAATATCGATATCGTATCAGGAGTGAAAAAGTTGTATCGGGACATCCCTAACGCAAGTGCACCTAAGTGATGCCAAAGCCATTTCAAATGAGCTGTCGCCATCTTAGTTTCACTCAGACGCACGAACATCCCACCCACAAGACCGATGCACAGCTGTGATTGGCCAGCCACCAGACTGGCCAGGGCTATGGCGGTTCCAAAGGAGCGTGGCTAGACTGACATACAGAGCAACATCTTTTAGCTTCTGCGACTGAAGGTCTAGCTTTCTAGGCTGCAAAATTATAAAACTTTATTAAAATGCTGTTCTTTATATTAAGAATAAAAGGTGCCATGTCCTATTTAAAAAACCTGCTTTGTGTTATTGATGATTTAAGCCTTTTACGGAGCAGCCAGAAAGAAATATGTCACGTTTTATTGCTTTCTGCTCATCACCTCTTAATTTATTGAACTTTAATTATCAAAGGTGATGCTAATCTTCCTCATGTTATTGAAAGAGATGTTTTAGTGAATCTGGGGATTCTGTTATCAGGAAACGGCTTTGATGCATTAAAATATTTTTTCTAACGATCTCATATTTCTCCAGGGTGACGGCTGCTGCAACATGGACAGCTTTTACGACCAGCAGGTTCCCTTTGTGGTGCCTGAAAGTGTGAGTTTATGAAGTAAACATTTTAGTGCATTTGACGTGCTTTGTTCAGTCGTATGAAGCAGTGATTAAGTCTGAGTTCATCCACGTTGCAGAAATGTCCCACAGAGGAGGAGAGGGGTTTTGGTGACCGACGGAGGAAGTTGTTTGATACGGAGCTGGCTCAGGACACAGAAGGTAATCTCTTATTTTGAAACCCAGCTCGTGTTGAGGCTCGTGTTGAGGCTTTCACTAAAAGATGATATTGGTGATGCTTTCAGAGCTTTTTCATGATCTGCGTCTGCTTCAAGAGATCTGGATCGAAGAAGGTAAAAATCACCGTTCTACTAAACGGTTACTCATTGATGCCAGAATGTTTGCTTATTCAAACAGTCTTTGAAAGTTAGGTTTTTATCTTGAACTTGATTTATTTTCTATATTTATTTCTATTTACAGATTAAATATTAAATATTATATATATTAAAATAATGTAAAAATTTTAGCAAACTTTTTTTGATAATTTTTTTGTTTTTGGATCTTTAGTCAATTTTGATGCTTTAATGTGTTTGTTTTTCTTTTTTATATTTTCAAAATTTACCCTTCAACAGTTCAAATTTTTTTAATCATCTAGTGTGAGGGGTGGGGCTTCAGATCATGAGGGTGGAGGCAAATTTCACTGGGAGAAAATTTTGATCTGAATTTGATTAAGTACTTGTTAAATATTAAACATCTAATTAAAAATATTTAAAAAATTATCAAAAAATTTTCTCTAAATTTGCTTTCTAATACATTTTATCTTAGCTATGTTAATCCGAGCCTTTATATATACATATATATATATATATATATATATATATATATATGTATATATATATATATATATATATGTATATATATAAAATGAATCAAACATTATGGCACTGATTTTACTCCATATATTTACTGTAAACACAGTCTCTGCTTAAATACATAATTTTTGTCCATAACCGTCCCGTATTCTCTCACCTGACAGCTCAGGTTCCTGATGATGAGCAGTTTGTCCCGGATTTCCAGTCCACTAATCGTGAGTGACCACTTCTCCCATATTTATGGAGATGTGCAACAAACATTTTCTATAATCACAGATTCTCCATTCATGCATCCAGAAGCATTATTGTTACCATTTATCAGACAGAACAGGCACCAGGAGAATATTGATTAAAGAAGCCACTCTGTTCTTGCCTAACTGACTCATGTTCTGTTGTTGAAACTACAAACATATTCATGCAAGGCTGAAAATCGTGTCTCTCTTAAAAAAAAAAAAAAGCTTTAAGAAAATCAACGTTTTATTCGTTTTAAGTTGTGATATTAGATCCAGAGCAGATAAATTTATTATGGGATTAAAACAAAAACAACTGCTGAGTGACGTCACTTTTGCTGTTTAAAATGCATTAAAATTAGACTTGAGGATTATTTTTCTCATTTTTTCTAATTTCATATAAAAAGACTTTGTAAACAATAAAACACAGAATACTTAAAATGAACCTAAATGAGAGAAAAGGAGGGAAGCCTAATGATCAATAAGGAACGGCCGTAATAACCTTAAAACCCCAAAGCTCCTCTCCGGTATCATGTGGACTTTGAACACTTGTTGAATCTTTGCCAAGTAAACGATCGCGCTGTCGTGGACAGGAAGTGAAGTTGTAAAAACAGTTTCCAGGGACTCTGCCTGTACAGATGGACCTCGACTCACAATAATACACAGAGTGCTGCCAGACACGTAGCGTGTGTATTTATTGCCATTATAATGATGGCTCCCTCCACGGAGCAGCTCTAGGTTTGGGTCATAAAGCCGACGGTGAATGTGTCACAGATGGAAACACTTGTGGTTTACGTCACGTTGGGAATCCAAACACTTGTTTCCAGGAAAGGTGGGATCAGATAAGGCTGTAGAGATGCATGAAAACGTGTTGACTGATGGAGATTTGCTAATTAGTGAGAATATTTGATCAATTAGGACAAAATTTAATTTGTTTTTCATATGACATCAGCACAGCGATGGAAAGAGAGGCAAGGCTCGTGAAATTAAGATTTTTGTTTGAAAAGGGCGGTTTTTAATTCATCTAACTTGAATCAGTTATGACCAAATTCATGAAGTGGTGCAAAGCTTAAAGGGGTTCTAGAATTCAATTGTTGAGTAAAGGTAGCTTGGCGTGTCAAACGTACCAAAATGTCTGTACAGTCTCTGATAAATTAATAATTTTGTAATGGCCGCACAGAAATGGTTCAGTCTGAGAAAAGCTCGTTTATCACATCACACGCTTAGACACACACCCTCAAGTTAGCATGTCCCAACCCACCTCAGTGCTAGGTGATGGTGATGCTAACCGCTGAACAGTGCTAGCCCGAGCTACTGCTAAGGCTAGCTAAGGCTACTGCTAAGACTAGTCCAGGCTACTCCTAGCCTGGCAAGCCAGACTAAATAAATGTATTATTTAGTCTGGCCACACTCCATTGACAGCTCTCAGTTGTGGGGCGGGTTCTACCGTTGTCTTTCAAATGATCTCCGCATTCTACTGGACAATGAATGCGGCATACTCTTGTTTCACTCTGTTGCATCATCCCACCCACCAGGCATATAGAGTGCCCTGATTGGCCCACAAAGCGAATAAAGCTCTGTGATTTGTTCACTAAGCAGATAGAGCACTATGATTGGCCCACCATTATGGACTAATCACAGCTCTTTATGTGTTTGAAACCCCTCTAGAGAGCTGTGATTGGCCAGCCAGAGTCCTGGTAGGAGCTGCTGAGGTTCCAATGGAGAATGCCTAGACCAAACTTTGCAAAGCAAGAATTTGGTCTAGTTCACTAGGCTAGGCTACTCCTAATGTTAACCTGAGCTACTGCTGATGCTTACAAGGCTACTGCTAATGCTAGCAAGGTTACTGCTTATGCTAACCCAATCTACTGCTAATACTAGTTCAGGCTACTGCTAACGCTAGCCAAGGCTACTGCTAATGCTAACCAAGGCTACTGATAATGCTACCCTGACCTACTGCTAATGCTAACCCAAGTTACTGCTAAAATCCTTGTTGGACGAGAGCAAAACAACAAAGAAGAATGCCGGAGCACATTTGTAACGTTCAAGGATGCGCTGGGAATTTCCAGACTATGAATGAATGCCTGCTAGATCCCTGTTGAGTTTTATCTCCAGGCAACTTCATAAAGACACCAGGGTAACTCCAGCCAATCAGCATGCAGGTCATTTAACACTCATGTCCGGGCTGAGTGGGCGGTGTAAACCAGTTTTTCCGTTGCAGGCTTTATTATGGGGTTGTTTTTTCAGGGCTCCTGGGCCATTGTGAGCCTCAACAAAGCTGCATGTGTTTTCTCGAGGCTCAGAACGGTTTCTGATTGTGAAAGGAGAACCGTGTAATACCTGTACCACACCCAGCCACTAGGGGTGGTAGTTTTGTTCCTGGTAACTTCTTATAAAAATGGTACAGATGGGGGCTTTTCTGTGTTATAGTGATGTTTCATGGACCTCCTGTGATGAAAGTAAAGCAGGAGCCCAATCCGTCCAAAGACCTGTCCCCCTGTGGAACCCCTCAGACTGATGCGTGCCTTTATAGTTACAGGTATCAAACATTTCAAAACAATTCTTTAAAAAAAACCCAGTGATTTCAGTCGTTCCACAGCTTCTTGTGCCTTTGTCTGCCCAGTGCCTTTGAAAACAAGCCAGGTCCAGCTCCAACCTCCACATCTGCACCGCAGTGTCGCTCCATCCAACCTGCTGGACCTCCACCCATCCAGAGGCAGCTGCAGCCCCCCCAGTCCCAGCTCAGCCAAACTTCAACCTCCAGCCCGTTCCACCGGCTCCCACAGGCCGACCAGAACCAGAACCAGCAGTTTGCTTTGCCTCGCGTCCCCACCAGCTCCTCGGGTGCATCGTTCAACACAGAACAAAGGTAAGTTCTGCTTAACGTCACCAGGAACGAGCTGAAGGATTCCCGTGACCTCTTCTTGTTCACCCACCAGGTTCCAGAGACAGCTGTCCGACCCCTGCCTGCCCTTCCTGGCTCCAGAAAAAACCACCAACACGCCGTACCACCCCTCCGCTTGTGACGGCCGGCCCATGTACCAGCGCCACCTGTCCGAGCCTCTGGTTCCCCTCGCCGTGCGGGGATTCAAACAGGAGATTGTGGACCCGCGATACCCAGACCCGACACCTGCTGGGCCGGTTCGGGCTCGATCACAGACCAACTTCAACCAGGTCAAAATCAAGCAAGAGCCGAGAGACTTCAGCTTTGAACCAGGTGTGTTTTATTTACTGTTATGAACACGTCGGTATTTAAAACTCTAAGGTTGGTCTATTTATTTTACTTTTAGAGGTTCAGACCTGCCAGTCGTCATCGTTCGGAAAGTCTTCTGTTATGTTTCGGAACAACGGTACAGGTGCGTTTCATCATCTCATTTCTAAAGTTTTCCTGTCTGTCCCGCCACGACTGACCCGTTGTTTGTGTCCTCTGCAGGATTCGGATTTGACCGAGATCCCCGATCGTACTTTGACGACACCTGTGTCGTTCCAGACAGGATGGAAGGTAAGAGCGGGAATTTGAACGACTTCCCGGCAGACGGACGAAACCCAAACGTGACCGAGTCGTGTTTGTTTAACAGGTAAAGTGAAACAGGAGGGTTTGCCCTACCAGCGCCGCGGCTCGCTGCAGCTCTGGCAGTTCCTGCTCACGCTCCTGGACAACCCGGCTAACGGACACCTCATCGTGTGGACGGGTCGCAACATGGAGTTCAAACTGATCGATCCAGAAGAGGTGCGGCCGTTACAGAAATGCTCTCACACATGAAAGGAAATAAGCCAATAAAACGCCTTCCCCCGTTTTGGTTAGGTGGCTCGGCTTTGGGGGATCCAGAAAAACCGACCGGCCATGAACTATGACAAGCTGAGCCGCTCGCTGCGGTACTACTACGAGAAGGGCATCATGCAGAAGGTAAAGGCGAGTCCTATTTCACTTCTCTCCATGTGGTTACATTTATTATCGGATAACAATTAGCGCTTAGTACCTACAGGACTTAGATCCTCCTATAGAGGGTGGGAAAACGCGTAAAAGAACGTACCAGATTTATGGCGACTTTCTCCATGTTTACCGCTCCTGTCGTCCTAATCTCGTCACATCTGCTTTATGTCGATTTGGTGAGACGAGCATTTGGGCTCCGCTGAGGCCCGGGGCACACCGGAGACACAAGCGCCGCAGTTTTGAGAAGTCAAGTGGTCACACAGGACGCGCTGCGGTTGGGCCGTCTGTTAGAAAGTACTCCACAATGTTGTAAACAGCCGCTGTGATGAAGATGGGCGCCGGTTCTATTTCGTAGCCACTCTCATCGACTCTTATCAGCTTCGATGTAAAATGCCGGTCCGTCTGTCTCCGGCATGCCCCAGGCGCAAGTCTTTTCACACAAAACCTAAAATAACGTTTGCCGCCCGATGAAGATAAGCGCTTGTCTTTGAAATTCACGGACATCATGTGTTAAGTCCATGATGCGTAAACGGGATCAGACAATAGCTTTGTCTCCACAGACTCCCACCCATGGACCTGAGGCAGAAGGGCGTGACTCGGGTCCCATCTACAGTGAGGAACATAAGTATTTGAACAACTTGCGATTTTGCAAGTTCTCCCACTTAGAAATCATGGAGGGGTCTGAAATTCCCATTGTAGGTGCATTCCCACTGAGAGACAGAATGTAAAAAAATAAAAAAATAAAAACAGGAAATCACACTGTATGATTTGTAGAGAATTTATTTTTTTCGCACTGCTGCACATAAGTATTTGAACAACTGGCAATCTGCAAGAATTCTGGCTCTCAAAGACCTGTTACTCTGCCTTTAAGAAGTCCACCTCTACCCCACTTAGTAATCTTAATTAGTAGCATCTGTCTGAGCTCATTAAAGACACCTGTCCACCCCACAGTCAGTCAGACTCCAACTACTACCATGGGCAAGACCAAGGAGCTGTCAGAAGAAACCAGAGACAAAATCGTGGACCTCCACAAGACTGGAAAGGGCTACGGGGAAATTGCCAAGCAGCTTAGTGAAAATAGATCAACTGTTGGTGCAATTGTCCGAAAATGGTAGAGGCTAAAGACGACTGTCAGTCTCCCTCGGACTGGGGCTCCATGCAGGATCTCATCTTGTATCACTGATGATAAGAAAGGTGAGGAATCGGCCCAGAACTACACGGTAGGAGCTTGTCAATGACATGAAGAGAGTTGGGACCACAGTTTCAAAGGTCACCGTTGGTAGAACACTATGCCGTCATGGTTTCAAATAATGCATTGCACAAAAAGTTCCCCTGCTCAAGTCATCACATGTCCAGGCCCGTCTGCAGTTTGCCAATGATCATCTGGATGATCCAGAGGAGGCATGGGAGAAAGCCATGTGATCAGGTGAGACCAAAGTAGAACTTTTTGGTCTAAACTTCACTAGTTGTGTTTGGAGGAAAAAGGAGGAGTTGCATCCAAAGAATACCTTCTCTACTGTGAAGCATGGGGGTGGAAACATCATGTTTTGGGGTTGCTTTTCTGCGAAGGGGACAGGACGACTGCACTGTATCAAGGAGAGGATGAGTGGGGCCATGTATTGTGACATTTTGAGCAACAGCCTCCTTCCCTCAGTCAGAGCATTGAAGATGGGTCGTGGTTGGGTCTTCCAACATGACAATGACCCGAAGCACACAGCCGGGATTACCAAGGAGTGGCTCCGTAAGAAGCATATCAAGGTTCTGGAGTGGCCTAGCCAGTCTGCAGACCTAAATCCAAAGGAAAATCTTTGGAGGGAGCTGAAACTACGTGTTGCTCAGCACCAGCCCCAGAACCTGACAGATCTAGAGAAGATCTATGTGGAGGAGTGGGCCAAAATCCTTGTTGCAGTATGTGCACACCTGGTCAAGAACTACAGGAAACGTTTGATCTCTGTCATTGCAAACAAAGGCTTCTGTACCAAATATTAATACTGATTTTCTCAGGTGTTCAAATACTTATGTGCAGCAGTGCAAAACAAATAAATTCTTTACAAATCATACAATGTGATTTCCTGATTTTATTTATTTATTTATTTATTTACATTCTGTCTCTCACAGTGGGAATGCACCTACAGTGGGGATTTCAGACCCCTCCATGATTTCTAAGTGGGAGAACTTGGTGTTCAAATACTTATGTTCCTCTCTGTAGATGGGAAAGCGATGGGGTCAAAAAAGGCCAGGAAAAGTTAGTATTCATGGCCCGGCCCACCGTGGCTTGGGACCGTACATGGAAAGGAGAGAGCAGAGCTAACTAACTTAAAATAGGTGAGATCTAACGTTACGGACTGTCGTTGATGCAAGCCAGTTCCTAAAAACTGGTCATTAATCATTTAAAATGGTGCAAAAACAGAGTTAAGAGATAGAAAATACCTCATTTGTTACTAATTAAAAGAGCGAATGAAAGTAGTGGAAGAGTCACCTTGATGTTAGCCAATCAGAGGAAAGTTGTTTGAATATTTACGAGTAAGACTGGTTTTCCCGCCGGTTTCTGCCCCGACTCCTCCAGCTAACGTCTACTTACTGAAACAAGGGCGCCAGAGCTTTTGCTCCACAGAATCGAGTCACAAGGCTTGTTCATACGAGACCACAGCAGATGACGAGAGCTCTAGGAAGGCTCGACTCCAAAGAACCAGACTCGATTCATCTGGGTCATGTGACTTTTTAAGTCCTCCAATCAACGTTCTGAGCTTCTCTTCCTCTTGCAGGTGGCCGGAGAAAGGTACGTGTACAAGTTTGTGTGCAACCCCGACGCGCTCTTCTCCATGGCATTCCCAGAAAACCAAAGGCCGAGCCTGAAGGTGGACCTGGATGCCATTCTGCCCCCCAACGAGGAGGACGGGTTCCCACTGCCCGGCTACGAGGAGGAGGGGCCTTATCTGGTCGACGGAGCGGAACAGTGTGTTCACGGGTTGTCCTTCCCAGACAGCTACCCGTACTAACACACACGCTCACACACGCACACAGTTTTTGGCATTTCAATGTAACCAGAAGGCTTATACGAGTCTACAAGACTGTTAAACTTTCCTCCATTGATCTTTTATTTGTGTTGAATACTTTAGTTTTACCATCTGAAGGTGAGGCTGCCTGGAAAACCGTTTTTAATGATTAATTCTGATTCTAACGGGTCGCTTTCATACAGGCCGAACATGAAAATAGTCTCCTACACCTATCTCCTGCTTCAGCTTCTGATAGGATTAGAAAAGCCTGACAGATCTACGTTCATTCGTTTATCGTATGAGACTGTTTTCATGTTCAGCCTACATGAAAAGCCCAGAGGGACCCAATAGTCAGAAACAATCATTAAAATGTATTTTAGTGAAGTTTGATTTTTAACCAGCAGATCTTAAAGAAAAAGAAAAAACGTCTGAAATCTAAAACTTTTCAGAAAATGTAAAATAAATAAAAAAAATACGTCGGGCCGTGTCGCTGGAACAAGAGCTCGGCTCTAATGGGTCAGAAGGTGGTGGTGGTAAATATTCTAAATTAGACTTTAATACCGAACTCGTTTGTCCCGATGGTGGCGTCCCAGTCCAGATGTGACCTTCTACCCTCCCTTGTGTTTATTTTACGGTTCAGCTCCAGACGTGTGACATGTAGCATGGCCATCGCTCTAGTTCCTGCAATGTAAACTCTGGGATCTGTTTTGCAACCAAAAGAGAAGAAACTCGAAGCCATGGCATAGTTTAATGACCATCCCACTGCTCCAAAGGGACATGTGTGTTTTTCAAACGTTCTAACCCAAAAACATCTCTACAAAAATCTCCTTTGTGTATTTTCTCGGCTCTGAAGCTAATATTTTTGGCTTTACATGGACTTGTATGTTTTGGTATACCAGTTTCTGATAAAAGTATTGCTATTTTTGATTCTGTAATACTGCCTCTCTTATTGTTATAACAAGCATGGACTTTCTTCCTGATGACTCACAACTTAATGTACTGGGATAGTTTTCTGCATTTTGTATAGTTTGCTTCAGTGTGTAGAGAAAATGTATAATTATATATGGATATATTTTTGCTAAAGGCTGTGTTTGCTTGCTAACGTTGCATCAGTTCTCCTGGGAGGAGGGGCACGGCGCGCCCTGCAGATGGTTGAATAGTATATTTTACTATAAGGTGGAACCCTCAGATACTGTATGTGTGCCTTCTGTTGATCTTTACTGACACAATAAACAATTTTACTCTTTTCTCTTTGCCTCGCTGTCTCCTTGTCTTGCCTTGCCTCGACATGACCAGTGGCATCCAACACAAGTAGGCTAAAAGATCTCAAAAAGCAGCACGTCATGCCCCGTTCTAAAGTTCTGGAGCCAGATGAAGCCAGAAACACTGCAGCCTTCACTTGGGGGCAGGGGTCATGATTCAGCAAGTATCCAGGCTCCTGGGTGGGTGTGGCCAGCAACAGCTAGTCTCCCTTAAAGTGACGGTGTGTACTTTCCATGGCGATAGGGGGCAGTACATACTTAAATCATTGCAAGCAAGCAGTGTTTTTGTGTTTGAGTAAGAACTTACCAACGGATGACCTTTAGGGTCAAAAACCCCTGGGAGTGCATGCTTCAGCAAAATGACAAGCACATCACTGACGATGAGTGAAGAGGTAAATGTGTAAAGCTAAATATTTGTTATTGGTGAAAGTTTTGTAGCCATTTGTGTTTTGTCCTCACAGGCCAAGCAAGGAAGCATGGCATCGCGCAGACTCAGACCCGCTCCCGTGTATTTTACAACAGATTTTTATGGTTATTTGTTGTGAAACTGCCAATATGTTTCAACAACTGGGCATCTTTTGTTCATTTACAACATTTTGATGGATATTTCCAGAGATTAATGGTAAAACTACGCCATCTCCCTCACCTGTCTAGGCTGGAGGAGCAGCATCTACTTTCCGAATCCCTTCCTCATATGAGCTTCTCGCTCCACAGCAGCCAATCGGGGGCAACAACAATTCCTTAACTCATTCGCTGCCAACGTTTTTCAGCATTTTTACTGTTTTTTAAGAGTCACAGAACGTTGCGGCGCTAGGATGATAACGCCAAAACAAAGCGGAGACTCACCTCTTACATCAAGAAGAATCCGCGCGTTTTGAGTTTCATCTGTTCTTTCACAATCCGTTGTTGAATTGTGATCGGCAGAAGCTTTTCCGGTTTGCGCCTCACTTTTTTTATCAGCAGTGATCCAAAACAATCTAACACATGGATTTTTTGCGTCCTGGTCACGTGACGCGTGACGTACGCAGATGAAGATCGGCTTTAGAGCTGAAATGTTTGTTCTCATGGTGCGGAAGCTCGTTCCGACGCTCACACAGTAAAAAAAAAGCGTTGTTTTCTGGAAACTGGAAATGATTAAACATGGACCTGGTCAGTTGGTCTCTCAACGCGACTGACAAAATCTTTTCAACGATGAGAACGGGAGAAAGGGCTCCTGGATGCCCCTCTGGGACAGAGCCAGCTGGGTATATCATGGACTCCTGGAAACAGTGGAACCTGATCTGTCTGTCTCAACTGTCTGTAGAGGATTCTGAAGACGTATGGATATTTGTCGTTTTGGTGTCAGGATTCCTGCTGTTTGGGCTGAGCTTACCTGACTTACCAAAAATTAATGAGCTTTCGATGAACATTGGCTTAATCCCGGAGTTCAGGGATGGAATGCATTGTGCTGTAAACTCACAAACTCATAATTATTGAGATGAGTCGTAAGCTTGGAACTTTGGCTGAGATTCAGGCTCTGGCACAGAAGGTTGATTCAATCAAGGAGAGGGTTGATGGATCAGCATGGATTGGAATAGTTTGATAACGCCTTATTGGACCTGGAGGGGTTGAAGACCAACAGAACTCTAAGGCAGAGAGGAAATTATCTCTTGTCTACTCTGTCCCCAAAACAAATCTTATCTGAATCTGGTGCCCTTGAAACCTGTTAGGCTGAAGTGAAAACTCCCCTCAGAAGAAATGTGGAATGCTGCGGTCGCTATGGAAACTCTTTTCTCCCTATTCCAGCCTGGGCGGGACTGTGACCGGTGAAAGCCGTGGAACCGTCTCAGGGATTCAATGTGCCCTCTAACCCATTATAAACCCCCCGTCCAAATGGAGGTGATGAGCACTGCTCTTGCGGCTGCACACTCTGAAGTGAGGATGGTCCCAACCCTACTAGTGATGGGAATTCTGGCTCTTTTTAGAGAGCCGGTTCTTTTGGCTCAGCTCACCAAAAAGAGTCGGCTCTTTCGGCTCCCAAGTGGCTCCTCAGATTTTCAGTTGCGTAGAGTACATTTATAACCAAAATAATGCAAAACTATATGTAAAATTATTTACTAATGTAAAAAAATGCAATATATCAAATATTTATCATTTCTATGGATTTAATAACTGAACACAGAAATCTCCACTTTCCAACTGCTGGCGCTCATTTTCTCACCGTCTTAGTCGCACTCTCTCCCTTTCGCCTTTTTCCTCCTCCTCATTCCCTCGTCTCCCTCCACCCGCATGTGCTCTGCTGTGTGTCTGAGTCTGATCCTCCCTCTTCCCCGCCCCTAACTGCTCTGTGTGTAGACAGTCTGTACACGCAGTTACACATGTTGACCAATTGCCTGTAGCTTTCACCAAAGCAAGAGGGGAGGGGGGAGGGGAGGGGGCGGCTCCCAATGACGAGCCGCTCCCATCGTTCACTTCAAAGAGCCGGCTCTTAGAGCCGGTTCGTTCGCGACCGACACATCACTAAACCCTACCTCCCCACCTAGTGGACACTTATGTATCGTGTGAAGTCTGTGTGCATATCTGTCTACGCTCTGTTGAGGGTAACTCTGAAGTGCCTTTTTTTTTCCCTCTCCCTGATTCTATCCTCATATAAACCCTCTTGATCTATAACGGTAGCGCGACTCGTGTTGCGAATGACCACAGTCATCCAATTCCTGTCATGTGTATATGCATGTATGTCTGATCTTGGAATTGTGAGTACTGAAACAATTGAATTTCCCTCTGGGATTAATAAAGTATTTTTGAATTTGAAACGACTACTTTAGTCGTCAGTGGCAGTGAATGAGTTAAAACATTGGGTTCAACAATTGTGTTGGTAGAAACTTTACTGTCACATGCTACAGCGCTGCCCTAGGTATCCTGGGGGGGTGGGGGTGTGGGGGGGGGGGGGGGGCTCTTTACCTGCTGAACGGCTGTTAGCTATTTTATGTACCGGTAGCTAATGAAAGGCTAGCAGTTAGCTTTTTCAGTTCGATGACCATTAACAAACACAAGAAGAAGAAAAATAAGTTTACCAATGCTGTAGTAAAACAAAAGGTATAATAATTTATTATTAATAAAACCTTGTTGCAGCACTAAAGCAGAAAATGAGATTTTGCAATATACTAAATATTTACATATGAATTGTTTTAGAGCCCTTTTATTGGCAGAATCTGATATTAATTTTAGTTCTTACAAAAAAAATGGGTCCCATATGGGCTATAGTGTGACGTCATAGGCACAGATCCCCTGTCCTCTATTGGAAATGGAAATACAGTCACCCTATATTAAACAAACTGTCCACCCGGGCTTTTGCGCTGCACAGAGACGCTTCGCTGCCTATGACTTTGAACGTCAGTTGAGAGTCAGTCTCATGCAGACTGACGAATGAAGAGAGGGCCTCAAGTTAAGACCCTCTCCTCATTGGTCAGTCCACACGAGGTGGGTCAAAGGTTACCCTGAGCAGTTTACGTGATGTCAGGCATTCAAGTATTGAGTATATTTACTGCATATTACAGTAAAATATTCTGTATGTGACCACATTATGGTGATCCTTGGGTCGTGATGATGGGGCCCTTGAATATTGTTGCCCAGGGTACAACAAAGTGTTAATCTGGCCCTGGTGTCGATGGTGGTCTTCTGGACGACTGTCAAGTCAGCAGTCTTCCCCATGATTGTATATCCTACAGAGCTAGACTGAGAGACCATTTAAAGACTTTTACCTTTAGTGTGGCACCAGGGGGCTTCAATATTGAACAATAATGGTGAATGGTTTGTATGTGTATAGCGCCGTAGGGTTCTACAACCCCCAAGGTGCTTCACAACACTTCATTTAACCATTCACACGCTGGTGGGGATGAGCTTCGATGTAGCCACAGCTGCTCTGGGGTGCTCTGACAGAGGCGAGGCCGCCGAACACTGGCACCACCGGTCCCTCCGACCATCGCCAGCAGGCAGGGCGGGTTAAGCGTCTCGCCCAAGGGCACGACAGCAGCATTATCTGGCAGGATCGAGCCTAAAACCATCCGATTACTGGACAACCCACTCTTCTTCCTGAGCTGCTGCTGAATCTTATAATAATCTGAGACACAGAATTATTAGTTATAATCAGTATTGAAGAAAGAAACATCTGGAATACATCAGTCTGTGTGTCATGTCACTTCTTGAATGGCATTAGTGAAATAAAACCACGTTGTCATGATCTTCTGGTTCTATAATGGCACCTGCATCATCTAAAAGGTCTTGAATTCTCAAAAATACAAAAACACCGGATACAACTCCACAAAGTCTCCTTTATTTTGAAAAAGATCCGTTTGAGTGTCTGACACTCAGATTTCACATCTTATTTTCTCCTTAAGTCCTTTTTATAAATTAAAATGGTACATTAGGCATGCAATACCGCATCAGCCGCTTACGTTTTCATTTTCCACAGAACAAAAGAGACCAACACAAACGTCCTCGGGTGTCCAGATGAAGCTGCTCGGAAGCGTTTGGAGAAGCCACAGCATGAAGCGATGAACACAGTCAGCGGTTGCATAGAACAGTACGTGAAGTTCCTCGTTTAAAACGGCATGCCGTGTGGCTGAAACTTTGTATACTGGACCTCGCCGCTTGTCCCACTTGGGCTGCCGTCTCGCCCCAGCACAGGTACAACAAAATGCTTCTCTCTGAGACTTTATGTACATTTATTTATTTATTCATTATAAAAATAATCACCAGGAAATATTCATCTATCGCTTTTCTACTGGGAGAAATATTGCACCTATTTGCTTTTTTTTTTTGTTAAGGTTTACCAAAGAAGTAAAAACGACTTGAAACCAACGAATGAAACAAAACCGGGACTCTGAACGGTGGGAGTTAAAACAAGCAGCTAAATAAAGGAGTGGGATGGTGTAGCGCTAGATTGTCTCGAAGAGCCCGGCTCGACATCGGTTAGCTTCAGCTTTTAAATCAACCAATGGGAATCTGAAGGGGCACGAGATGCGTGAGCAAATATCCACAAAGTCCTCTGTAGACATACGTTAGCTTCAGATTACTGGAACATTTGCCCCAAAATAAGAATACTTTCATTTGTATCCGAGACTTTTCTGCTCGACCAGATAGAACTGGGACTCCTGCGTCGGACGGAGCCGTCGTTGTGCATGGCCGATATAAAACAGCATTTAAGCTAGCTGTAGAGGAAACGTTGAAAACGATGACACACTTTGACCTGGCCAAAGGGAGGGGCGATGGCTAAGGGCTGGAAGACTGTGGTGAACGGGAAATACTTGTGTATAAAATCTCATCTCCAGACATTACAGACATGTCTGGACGTCTTAAAGACGCTTAGGAGATGTGTTCCTGGAGTTTTTAACTGACCAGTAAAATAAACGTTTAGTCAAAAGGGAACAGTTTAATATCGTCTCTGAAACGTACGATCGTGGAAAAGCCTCATCCAACCATCATCAACGTCCCATTCTTAGTGATTGGTCCCTGATTCATCCATTAAAATGCCCCTCCCCTCTCTACGAGCATGCATCACTTGCTCTTGGCTTGGAGCAGCTGAGCCGGGCTAGCTGTATTAGCTAGCGCACTGTCACCTTGGTGCGTTACGTTAAGAATTACGACAGAGAAGGTGCCATCTTTGGGTCGAACACGTAGAACTTAACCCATCTTTCCCATTTGGATTTAGAAAACTGGCTTTGGGAAGCCAGAAAAACATCTCCTATTCCACCTTTAAGGCGTCTCTTTGCTACTCCTGCTGCCATCTAGTGATCCACTAGCAGCTGCTACATCCTCTAGTCCCGAAGGAACCCGGCAGTTAACGTGTCACTACCAGCTTCAGACTCAAGCCTACTTTATATGAACGGATGAAACACGTCGTGTAGATCTTAGACGAGAGTAAAGTTTTCATCTGAATACTTCGTCACGCCAGGGAGAACATCTTCGCTCCAGTTCTGATGCAAACCAGAGCCAACAGGAAGTGCGTCTTCCCCGATTAGAAGGCTTAAAGTCGACTGACTCGATGAGTAAAGCCGTTTTCGTGTTAAAAGTCCAAACGTTCGTCAGATTCTACTGAACTCATCATTAACGTTTACCTGTTATATTTCACACAGGTGAGGACACCTTAGAGGCGGGGCCAATAAAACACCAGTTAGAAAATAGACAAATCTCTTTAAGCAACTCTAAATAAATTATAATCTCAGGATAACTGATCTTAAACGAATATGTACAGTAAACCATAACAAGCGGATTACAAACATCGTTACAGCAGCGTTCTGTTTCCAAACAAGCACCATGATGGTTTGGTAAACTCAGATCTTCAGTGCATTTTTTAAAAATCCCCTAAACTGAATATATAAAACCTTTGTTTGTGGTGGCTCCACGTGTAAGTCATGCACACTTGTGACCGATTCCAGGAGCGTGGCGGGGTTCTACGTTACATCTGGAGGGATCATGCTCTGCGGTCGGGAGAACATGCCAGCTACAAGGAGAACAGACACGATGCAGCTGATCCCGACGTGTCGCACCTCTTCGGTTTCAATCCCAAGTCACAGATGATGGGAAACTAAATCACCAGTCAGTATTTCAGGGGGCTGCAAAAACCTGCAAATGCGACCCAATGTGGCCGGGTCATCAGACGGGTACCGAGTCCGGATCCTTTTATCAGATCTGATCTGCTGACACCTTCCTCTGTAGGATCAGGCTAAGTATGAGGAGGCTGAATGAACTTTGACCTTTTTGTGTTGGATTGTGGACATAAGGTCAATGCTCCATCGTCCCACACCTCCTCCTGTTGCTTCCTGATTCTTTCCGCTGCATCTCCTCAGGAAAGAAACCAGGCCTGAGGAAGATCTGACCAATCGGAAAGCTTCCCTTAATGGAACACGTAGACACCTGTGGGCGAATCACACAACGCCAGAGCGGCCACTGCCTCCTCCACCGAACTCCAGACAGGAGGACTCGAGTGAAGGGCTCTGCTTACAGCTGGTTGTCCAACGACCTCAGCCTCTACCGATTTTGTCTCATTTTGCTATTTGATCAGTGAAGAACTCCCAACGTTGTCTCGTGGCATTTGGACTCAGAAGCTAGGTGAAAAGGTTTGAGAACTCTTCTAGATGTTGGCAGCACTGACTTTCCAGAGGAGGTTTGTCCAGCAGAGGTTCTGAACATGTTTTAAATTAAAGCAACATGACAGCAAAGGAAGCAAGAACCCTCACAGACAAACGTCTACAGTTGCATCCCAGTGAAATACTGGCTTTGTGGAAGGGAAAGGGGTGTTACCATTAAAACCACCCTAAGGAGGTCTTCCTCCTAAAATGAACCTTCAAAATCTCTGGTAGCATTTTGCTTCCAGACGGACTCACGTCTGATCTCAGCACCATCTGCATCGGCTCGCTTCATAACCACGAAGGTTTCCCCTCAGATCAGACGCCAGAAGCTGTGCTACAGAGAAGCTGGCCTTGCTCAAAGTGACTTACAGACAGCAGAATCGTGTCTGGAGTGGGGGGTGGAGCACCAGTTCTCAAAGCTACCTGCCAGACCACAAACCCGCCACCTCAACATGGAACGATCCAGAATGCTAGGTACAAAGTATCAGAGATGCAGAGTATGATCAGCTATTAGCATGATCAGCTATTAGCAGACCAGCTATTAGCATGATCAGCTATAAGCATGATCAGCTATTAGCATGATCAGCTATTAGCACGATCAACTATTAGCACGATCACCTATTAGCAGACCAGCTATTAGCATGATCAACTATTAGCACGATCACCTATTAGCAGACCAGCTATTAGCATGATCAACTATTAGCATGCAATAAGCTAAAATGAGGATTTTACATGCCCGGAATTGGGGGGGCAGCAGTCTGAGATGCTCCAGGAACCTAAAAGCCACCGAACGCCGTTAGCCCGGATTAGCTTCCTGAGCGATCCGGGCTGCTCGCCTGCTGAGCTGTTGATGAAATCCCAGAAGGCCGGTGAGGAGGCGTTGTGTTAATCATCGTTGACTTCATGCTGCTGACCGACAGCTCGGTTAAAAACAGGAAACCTATTCAACTTGAGGAGAGAGACCGCCAGGCTTTTACAAAAGGTACAATTTGGGACCATCTTGGCTCTGTCGCAGGTCTACTTAGAGAGGAACCTGGCTGGTTCGGGTCCTGGCGGTGGCAGACGTGGGCTTAGAGCCGGTGCCGGGAGTCGTGGCTGTAGCTGCCCGGCGAGCTGCGGTTACGGTGTGGCTTGTACGCGTCCTGATAAGGGTCCTGGTAGTCCTGGTAGGGGTCCTGCTGCTCTCGGCTGTGCTGCGAGCCCGAGGACATGCGGTTGTGTCCTTTGTGCGCTCGCTCGTTGTGGTAGTTCTCGTCGGACGTCATCAGGTTGCGCCGCTCGTTTGGGGTGGAGTTGTCTCCTGTGTGGTTGCTCTGTCGCATTTTCTGGCTCTGAGGGTCAAACGTATGAAGAGCACACACTTTTATTACCTCGCCTGGACTTCGGTCCAGGTGAAAACAACCAGCTACACACACACCTGCAGACCAGAGATGCTGGTGGAGTAGGGCGTGAGCGCGGTGGAGCCCAGGTTCCGACCCATCAGAGGGTTCAGCGGGGTTGCCATGGAGGTGTGGGTGGCTTTCCAGTAGGCCTCCAGGTATTCAGCGAGATGCTCACAGGCGTCCTCCAGCTGGTTCTCGTCCAGGATGATGTCAAACATTTCCTGTGGGCAACAGAAGGAGGACATGGACATTTGAGGGGTCTGGGTCGGCACAGACCTGCTGCGGTTGTGTTCTTTAAACATTTGGACACTTACAGGTGGACACTGGGACAGTTTTTCTGCTGCCACCAGCTGGACATTCAGGTGTTTGCTCTGGGACTTCCCTCTGGACTTGACCAACCTCTGCAGAACCTGGAAGACACAGAAACCCACTTGGATCACTTTAGTTTCTCGTCTTTCCACAAATACAAACATCCAGACTTTAAATCAGACATCTGAAGGATCTTCAGCTTTAAAACCATCTGTCTGCAGTGGGACGACCCACTCAGGCTTCACCTTTGGTGAGGAGACTTTGACGTGAACGATGATGGGAGCCAGAGAGGTTTTGAGGAGCTGAGCCGGGTGGTTGATGGTGTCGGCGTCCAGCACCACCAGCTGCAGGGAGCGGGCCAACTCAAAGATCCTTTCAATCTCACTTTGTACCTCAGCTGTGGAGACAAAACGTTTCAGCCGCGTCAAGAGTCCGAGCTCGCGATCCTTAACTAGTAATCAAGCGTCTTCTTACCTAAACTGGAGCGAGTGTTGGAGCGTTCGATGATGGCCCGCTTACTGGGGTTGTTGAGAACCGACCTCTTGGCCAATGAGATGTCAGCAGTGACTCGTGTTATAGTGATCCTGGAAGCAGGGAAGTATGACGCTAGTGTGTTACTGGACTCTGGGGGGCGGGGGCTGATTTTGGGTTTGGGGTTAGGGCTACTTACCTGCCATCAAATCTGTGCTTCAGGAAGTCAAAGAGAGCTTTCTGCATCATGTCTGTCACCTGTTGGAGAGGAACACGGAGTCACACCTGCTCGACTTCACAGAGCAACGCTGCTCCCAAACCCATGCAAGGCAGCACTTGGACTATTCGTTAGCTTATCAATCCTGTAGGACGTAGTCTAAAGGCGCCACTCCTCCTCCAGAGGAAATAAACCTATTGACTATAATGGCGGCCATTAGCTGTGCGTTAGGCGGCGGAAGCCAGGGTGAGAGGGTTTCCATCCGTTACGTCAATCAGATATAAGAAAACATTCGTTCGGCTGTGATCACGTCGTTGGAAGCAGGAGAATCTCACACCTTGTCCATGCGGGGGTGGGTACCTGCCAGGTCCTCTGACTCCTCATTCTCCTCGTTAAGTCTGGCTGCTAGCTAGATGCTACGTGGGCAGCACCACGCAGGAAGCTATTTTGGGGGCTCTGGGAGAAACGTACCGACACCTTCATCCCTGTGTTTCAGCAGGGCTAGATCAGTGCTATTTTTAGCTTCTGATGAGCATAGAGCGTGTTTCCTTACCTCGTAACCTTTGAGTGACGGTCCCACCAGCACTACGGGCCTCATGGAGGGAACCACGTCATATGGTGGGATGTGCTCCGTCTGTTAACACAGAGAGAGAGCGGCAGCAGCGTGCTCGTCACAAACACGGAATAAAAACCACCAGAGAGATGCAGCTGCACTTAAAACAGCTGTAAACAACCACCCGTGAATACGGCTTCAGGATAAACAAGCTGAAATCTACTTTCTTTCATATTACCCTCCTAAAGAGATTTACTCACAAGCACGTGAGACTAACAGACGTGTTTCCGTACATAAATGACCGTTTGCCTGCCATACACTGATGTGGATCAGACTTCACAGTAAGAGGCAGCAGCACGACACAAAGATGCAGAGATGGATCCACTTAAAGATGCAGATGAGAAGCAGAACTGGACTCTGGTTTGCTTTAGGAGCAGACGGTTAGGCCGTTTCCCAGAAGCAAGGCAGGTTGCCATAGCAGCGGGGAGGATTATTCTAGTCTGGCTGACTTGTTTACAGTCAAAATCATTGATGTCTTTATTGATTCCATACTTGGTGCTTTTATTTCATAAGGGTGTTAACTGATGATCAGGCCACGCCCACATTTTGGCTCAAACCTCACACCCAAACACAAATGGAGACCTTGGTGAGATAAACTGAGATTTTTCCTAACAGATTGTTTAGAAATCTTTTTAATCCTGGTCTGACACACTCAAAATAATATTTGGCTTTTTTAGACAGAAGAAAGGAGGAATTATGACGTTATTCTCAAGATTTCTGAAGTTAAACTCAAAATTCTGAAAAGAAAGGTTGGAATTCTGAAATTAGAGTAATAATTCTGAGATTAGAGTTAGAATTTTGACATTAATTCATAATTCTAACACTAAAATCTAATATTTACATTTTGTTCTTATGTTGGGAGGCGCTTTGGTCAGCTCCCATGCTGTTTTGTGCCACATAAATACATTTGTTTGATATGATAATATTAAAGTCATAATTCTGAAATTAAAACCAGATTTCTCAGATTAAAGTCATAATTCTACAATTAGAGTCAGAGTTCTGAGATTAAAATAAAATTTCTGAGATTAAAGGAAGAATTCTGAGATTAGAGTCTGAATTCTGAGAAAAAGTCATAATTCTAGGATTAGAGTCACAATTCTGAGATTAAAATTAGAATTTTGATATTACAGTCATAATTCTGAGAAAAAAATTAGTCATAATTCTAAGATTACAGTCATATATCTGAGATTAAAGTCAGAATTTTGGGATTACAGTCATAATTCTGACAAAAACTCAAAATTCTATGATTAGAGTTATAATTCTAAGATTAAAGTAAGAATTTTGGGATTACAGTCATAATTCTGACAAAAACTCAAAATTCTGTGATTAGAGTTATAATTCTAAGATTAAAGTCAGAATTTTGGGATTACAGTCATAATTCTGAGGAAAAACTCATAATTCTAAGATCACAGTCATATATCTGAGATTAAAGTCAGAATTTTGAGATTAGATTCTGAATTGCTAGAAAAATATCAGAAATATTCTTCTGTATGTTTATTTTACATCTAATGAACTTAAATTATTTCATTATTGGTTAGAATTTAACCAGCAGCTAAACTCTGCTGCTCTGGCACAGATCCACATAATCTGACACTAGATTAGATGCTGGACACTAATTAACACAAAAATAAACTAAAGGGTTTTTATATTTATATTCTGTAGAGGGAGCTCAGCAGGGTGTTGCTGTATTTAGGGATTGTGATGATTCAGTACTGTATACTTCAGTAGGGCTGAAGTATCGTTCGGCATGAGCTTCCTGTCCCTCCTGCTTACTTCCTGTCGCTTTATTATGGCGCCAACAAAAGTCGAGTGGATGGTAAATGAGAGGGGTTTCCGTCACCAACTTACCACTTTCTGTTTCTGCTTTCCTGCAGGAGGGGAGAGAAGACAGCGATAGCGTCGTCAGTAGAAGCAGCTACAGGAGGCGTGGCAACATATCTCACAAACTCTAATCAGGATTAATGTCAAACGCAAAGGAAACCTACGAAAGATACGTGATTTCATACAAATATAAAGGCATTCCTATGTTCCTAAGGTTATATTCACAAAATCACATGAGTGCAGTTCAGAGGGGTGGGTCATAGTCTGGTCGTCCCAGTCTCAGAGCGCCTGCAGTCCTCAACTGGAGGAAGAGGAGGATGATGGGAAAATGTAGCAGCAGCTCTATAAACTTAAGCTCTACATGGAGACATGGGCAGGCTTATGCTATCTATGCCGCTGTGGCTTGGTTTGGCTTTAAGCTGGTGGGCGGGGTAATGAACAGGCCCCTCCCCCTGATTCCCAGTTCTCACCTGCGGAGGATATGAGTGGTCGGATAGAGGCAGAAACCTCATCCTCCACACTGGAAGAGGAGTTTCCTCCAGACTTACTGAAAAAGACAAGAGGGATAAAAAAGACAGAGAAAACATGGCGGCATTAATGCAGAACATGACTAATGACAGCTGCCTGCTACGGCTAGCATCGCATAGCGCTAATCCCTAGAAGACGTCAGGTGTTTCATCCAAGCACCGGTTAACTGGATGAAAGGAAGATTTGGTCATTTAGAGGTTTGTGTGGGTAACTACCATCTTACCTTTAAACAGATGGCTTCCTGAACAGCTTTAGGTTTAAGCTTTAAGAAGGGTTCAATAACACCGGTTTTATCTTCTTCACATTGGCTACCGGTGAAGTTTAGAATTGATTTTAAAATTTTAGTTTTGACTTTTAGAGATCTTAATGGACAAGCTCCACAATATTTATCAGACCTTTTAATCCCTCACTCTTCTGGCCGCACTCTACGGTCCTCGGGTCAAAACGTACTGAAGGTCCCTAAGACCAGATTTAAAACTAGAGGGGACCTGTCCTTTCAAGCTGTAGCTCCCAGACTTTGGAGCCCTTGTTTCTTCGTGTGGCCGACTCGGTTGATTCTTTTAAAAAGCAGCTGAAGACACTTTTATTTAGACAAGCTTTTATGTAAGTTGACCTTGTGCTCCGGTCCTGTTTTGCCTTTTTATGTATGTTGTGAAGCACTTTGTGATTTTATCTGTGAAAAGTGCTATATAAATAAAGTTTTACTTACTTACTTACTTACTTTAGTTTGACCTAATGGACATAAGCTGTTTCTCCCAACAGAGGCTGTTCAGGAAGCCATCTGGAACCTTTACACAGAAACAAACTTCAAAACGGCTAAAACATCCCTCGTGCGCTCGGACGATCGTGAATGTGAACGTGAATGAAAAGGTCTCTGGGGCTTTTCTAGAAGGATTCATGAGTTTCCATCTTTATCTGCTGGAGGCAGAAATGTTAAAGTGTGAATAATCCGCTCTTCACAGAGATTTTTACATCCCACTCAGTAAATAACTGAAGAGAAAACAGAACAGACGTAGATTAAATATTAACATGTTACAGATTACAGAGTTAAAACATAAACCAGCTGCTGTTCTTCCGCCTCACTTAGTCCGAGTATCTGGGAAGGCTTTAGCGCTGCAGTCTGGTTGGATCAGTGTGAACCAGTTATCGTGTTAAACTTCCAGACCAATTACACACAGGTGCTGACAGGTGAGCTAACTGCAGCTATGTGAGAGCGTTTGACTCCACAGGGGCAGAAGGACTGAGTCACAGGAGAGTTTGGGTCACTAATAAAGACTAAGAACATCCTCACACATGGCCTGGCGTCCACAGCAGAGCCATAAAACATGGCCGGCGCTCCATAAGCGACGTTTTATTTACTTTGGCTTTTTAATGAGGTCAGTGTACATGACGCTACATCAGAAAAGATAAAAATTCTGTTTAGAAAATCTGAATTTAGAGTAAAATGTTCTTGTTTTAGATTTACCTGCTAACATTTTTATTCATGAGACAAAATTAAAGAATTATTTTATTTTCTAAAAATAGTTTCAAATCTATGCTGACGATATTTAGGCTCGCAGCTGCCTTTAGACAGGGCTAGCTATGGTAGCTAGTAGCGATGTAAGAAAATATTGATATGACAATATATCGTGGTATTGTTTCCTGTGATATTATACTGGTATTCAATAGCCGTGTAGCTAATTTTTGAAAGAACAAACGTGTGTATTTTCTTTTCTTTTGGTGCAGTTCAAACGCTGACCACTAGTTGGCAGCAGTGTGCAACGGGCTTGAAAATGTAAATCCCGCTGTTATGGTTCAGATAACAGTAAACATGTTAAGTATCAGTTTGGACTGTTTATTGAATTTTCCTACAATAAATTCGGTCTAAAAATTGCTAATATCGTCTGACTGAATGTATCGCAATTTATCGTGATACATTGTATCGCATCGCCATAATTTCACCAATTCATATTAGCTAGCATGCTAAGTGTTTAGAGGGTTGTTTCAGCGCGTTATGCCAGGAATCACAGCTGAAAAGTAGCGCTAACATGTAAGCTAACGTTACTTTAGGGGCTGGACCTTTTGGATTTTTCTAGATACGTTCTCCAGGAACGACAACTCGGTTGTTAATGATAAATCCTCTCAGAACTGTAGCCTTATTTTATTTCCTTATATTAAATCAAGCTTTTAAAGTTCTAACCTGATAGATTTGGTTTTATCATTGCATGCTTCTGACTTTTTAATAAAACTTTAGTGTGCACCTTTAACACGCTACCTTACCTTAAACAACCCAACTGTTCAAAAAAGTTTCAGAGAGGACGTAAGGACCGTGGAGATGAAACGGCCGAGCTCCTTTAAAAACAAACTAAACGTATTTTTCCAGAGAGAAACGGGGATCAGAGCGTTCCTAATCTGTTTCTTACCCTTGGACTCGTCCTCTCTTCTGCTCCTGCTGAAGCCGGATGTTCTCCAGTTTCAGAGGACTGGGAATGAAGCCGATCTCACAGCCTTCCTTCACCAGCCGCCCAATCCACCAGTCGTTGTTGAACTTCTGAAGACGAGAAAACAGAAACTCAGGACTTCTCTCCTATCATGAGATGAACGAGGACACTTTTAGGTTGGATCAGAAAACACAGACTGACTTCTTTTATGTGGAGGAAGTCCTTGGAGTCAAAGGAGATGGCCGTGGCCGGGACAGGAACATCCTCATCCAGAGCTCCACAGTAGCTGACGTTGGTCCTCACGGCAAATGCCACGGGTTTACTCTGGAAGACAGAACAGCGCCTCTGTGAGGACCAAACCTTTATTTCATACAGAACATCATCACGGGTCGGGAACCTTGGCTCTTTCCAGCTGAACAGCAGCCTGCTGCTCCCTCTCCTGGCGGCTCTGTCCCGGTCCTTGGCTCTGGCTTGGGCTCTGGTTCTGGACCTGGGCCTGCACCTCCCGCTCCTCCTCCAAGGATACATCTGAGTCTGATGGTCTGCTAGTGTAGGAATCAGCTGAGCCCTGCAAGCCGAGAGGACACCGTCATGTTAAAACGAGCCCATCTGAAGACATCAGGATTATTTACCTGAACCACGTCGTTGTCGGGTTAAATCCTGCCTGACTGGGAATCAGGAAGCTTTTTAAAAGCAGACTAAAGGAAAACGGGAGCTCTGAACTCTCCGGTGTGTAGCAGAGTGAGGACAAACATGGCGGCATGACCTCAAACGTCTTCCTGACAAAGGCCCTGAGGTTCAGGCGGTCACATGGATTTACTAGGACCTCTGAAAAATAAAACAATGACAAACTGTGTAGCTGTGGCTTAAAGCAACAGGAAGACTCCACACAACACGGGAACAACGTGTTAACTGGATTATTTATAGAGGTTTTGGGTCTCTTTTTTCCTTCTCTCCTCCCTATCTTGTCTGTCTTTGGGTGCACGGCGCTTCTACATTTTTTCTGGAAACTGGAAATTATTAAAAATGGGCCTGGTCAGCTGGTCTCTCAACGTGATTGACAACATTTTCTCAACGATGAGAATGGGAGAAGGGGCTCCTGAGTGCCCCTCTGGGACAGACCCAGTTGGGCACATCATGGACTCCTGGAAACAGTGGAACCTGATCTGCTTATCTCAACTGTCTGTAGAGGATTCTGGAAACGTCTGGATATTCGTGGTGTTGGTGTCAGGTTTCCTGTTTTTTGGCCTGGGAGGTTACCTGGCTTACCGGAAAATTAACGAGCTGTCGAGGAATATTGGCTCTTTCCCGGAGCTCAGGGATGGATTACACCGCGCTGTGAATTCACAGACTCATATAATCGTCGAGATGAGTTGTAAGCTTGGAACTTTGGCTGAGATTCATGCTTTGGTCCAAAAGATGGATGCGATCAAGGAACGAGTGGACGAATCAGCACGGATTGGGATAGATTAATTTACGCAATTATTGGATTTTGAGAGGTTGAGGACCAACGGAACTTTAAGACAGAGAGGAAATTATCTCTGTCTGGCCCCAAAACAATTCCTTATCTGAATCTGGTGCCCTAGAGCCTGTGAGGCTGGAACGAATACCCCCCCCCCCCCCCCCCCCCAACGAAACGTGGAATGCTGCCGTCGCCATGGCAACTCTGTCTCCCTATCCCAGCCTGGGCGGGACTGCGAGCTGTGAAGGCCGCTGCATCATTCCAGGAGTCACTGTGCCCTCTAAACCCAACAACCTCCTCCCCCAGTCTAGACTGAGGTGACGAGCACTGCTTATTGCGGCTGCATTCACTGATGTGTGGAGAGTCCCAAACCCACCACCCCACCTAGTGGACACGTATGTTGTGTGATGTCTGAAGTCTGTTGCATATCTGTCTGAGGTGTTTTTTTGCATAGCAAAGCTGTGCTTCCTGTGGAGGGTAACTCTGAAGTGCCTTTTTTCCCCTCCACCTGACTCAATCCTCATGTAAACCCCTCTGATCTCTATTAAGGTAGCGCGACTCGGGTTGCAAATGACCACAGTCACCAATTCTTGTCATGTGTCTTTGCCTATGTATGTCTGATCTCAGAATTGTGTGTACTGAAACTCTAATTTCCCTCTGGGATTAATAAAGTATTTTTGAATTTGAATTAATAATCAGCTTTAGGTATCAGCCATCGGCAACAAAAGTCTTTAAAAATTGGTATTGGCCTAAAAAACCACATCTATTCTGAAACCTGGATATTCGGACAAATTACAAAACCCTGCTGTAAAAACCACGAGTCCTGTGTACAAAGATGCAGGTAATGCCAGCTCAGGAGACCCTCGGAGAGGGTCGCCGGACGATGCGGGGATGTGGAATGTAAAATTGGCTTCACTGGTGGACATGAATGACCACTTAGAGACTACAAGACGGAGGGGAAGATTATCTCTGTCTACCCTAAACAAAGTTATGTTTATCCTTATCTGACGCCATAGCAGCCTCTCAAGGCTGCCTCAACACACCCCCACAAAAGGAGGAATGCCGACAGATGCTGTGTCCCGACCTTCACCCTCTCCCTTCAGGCTATATCTGCAGGGACCTCAATGTGCTCTCTGTTCCTTATCTCTCCCTCCCACCTGTTGTTCTGCAGCTGGTCGATGCGCCGCAGTGGCAGCTCCCATTGGAGGCTTCAGGATCCCGCCCACCCCCACCTCCCCATTGGACTCTGATGTTGTACACGTGCTGTCTGTGCTTCCATGTCGGGTGTTTTTTTTGCATTGGAGTGCTACACCCTGCTGGTGTAACCCTGTTAATGCCTTTTTTCCCCCTCCCTGAACTTTCCTCATGTAACACCCTTTTCATCTAACTATTAAGGTAGCGCGACTCATGTTGCGAATGACCGCAGTCACCAATTCTTGTTATGTGTCTTACCCACGTATGTCTGATCTTTGAATTGTGTGTGCTGAAACTGAATTTCATTTCTCTGTATGTCCTGCACATGTGGAGAATATGACAATAAATACTCTTGACTTGACTTGACTTGACTCTTGACTTGAAAAAACCACATCTATTCTGAAACCTGGATATTCGGACAAATTACAAAACCCTGCTGTAAAAACCACGAGTCCTGTGTACAAAGATGCAGGTAATGCCAGCTCAGGATGTGTGTCAGGTGACTACTGACTTGTAACAGACTTGGTAGTCTAGTAGTTCGAGTGCTAGGCTGGTACGTTGTTCCGAGCAGGTTTGACCCCGGTCCCAGCAGTAACTTTTTTCATATTTTTTAGCTAAACTTACCAGTATGATGTTTTCAACCCTTTATTGGTAAACTGAATTAAACATAAGGCCTAATCTGTTTTTTTGGCCAGTGTGAGTCCGTGTGAGGTGTCTCTCGTCTCGTCTTCCTCCGCTTATCCGGGTCCGGGTCGCGGGGGCAGCATCCCAACTAGGGAGCTCCAGGCCGTCCTCTCCCCGGCCTTGTCCACCAGCTCCTCCGGCAGGACCCCAAGGCGTTCCCGGACCAGATTGGAGATGTAACCTCTCCAACGTGTCCTGGGTCGACCCGGGGGCCTTCTGCCGGCAGGACATGCCCGAAACACCTCCCCGGGGAGGCGTCCAGGAGGCATCCTGACCAGATGCCCAAACCACCTCAACTGGCTCCTTTCGATCCGGAGGAGCAGCGGTTCTACTCCGAGTCCCTCCCGAATGTCCGAGCTCCTCACCCTATCTCTAAGGCTGAGCCCGGCCACCCTACGGAGGAAACTCATTTCGGCCGCTTGTATCCGCGATCTCGTTCTTTCGGTCATTACCCAAAGCTCATGACCATAGGTGAGGATTGGGACGTAGATCGACCGGTAAATCGAGAGCCTGGCTTTCTGGCTCAGCTCCCTCTTCCCCACGACAGATCGGCTCAGCGTCCGCATCACTGCAGACGCCGAACCAATCCGCCTGTCGATCTCCCGATCCCTCCTACCCTCACTCGTGAACAAGACCCCGAGATACTTAAACTCCTCCACTTGAGGTAGGACCTCTCCCCCGACCCGGAGGTGGCAAGCCACCCTTTTCCGGTCGAGAACCATGGTCTCAGATTTGGAGGTGCTGATCCTCATCCCAGCCGCTTCACATTCGGCCGCGAACCTACCCAGCAAGAGCTGAAGGTCAGAGCTGGATGAAGCTAGGAGGACCACATCATCCGCAAAAAGCAGAGACGAGATTCTCCTGCCACCAAACTCGACACACTCCACACCACGGCTGCGTCTAGAAATTCTGTCCATAAAGGTAATGAAAAGAACCCGTGACAAAGGGCAGCCCTGGCGGAGTCCAACCCTCACTGGGAACAGGTCCGACTTACTACCGGCTATGCGGACCAAACTCACGCTCCTCTGGTAAAGGGACTGAATGGCCCTTAACAGAAAGCCACCCACCCCATACTCCTGGAGCGTCCCCCACAGGGTGCCCCTGGGGACACGGTCATAAGTCCGTGTGAGGTGAGCAGAGTAAATCAACTAAAATGCTGCTTGGAAACGAACAAAATCAAAAATCTTTAGCAGAAAACAATCAATAAACTAAAATATTAAATAAAATCTGCTTCAACTGGCTACAGAAATCACTGCCGACACCACCGGGATTAGAATAGGCATCAGCACACGCCAAAACAAGGCAAAAGGCAGGTGCCTAAACCACTGACTTGCTGAAGATGCAGGAGGGGATTTTTGTCTGAGTGGGCGGAGCTTCTCAGAAACAAAAAGTTTCAGTTGCGGGTCTAAATTTAGGCTGACAAAAATAACTAATATTTAAGATAAATGACATCAACAGTGCCAACGGTAATATTTGATCTAACTTTGCTGTCAGAGGTTTAACATAGCGTGATCTGGCTCCTTTAAATCCAAACCTTCGACAAACACGAGTCACCCTTCGACTTGTGCAAATAATCAAATAAAACAAAAACTTGCAGGTGAGTCCAACTTTAGGTTGATTAAAGGATCTGGCTTTCCTTGGAGGATCACAGACCATCTTTCATGTCAGAGTTTTAAACTGAGCATCTATGAAGGTGGCCAAAGTTTGGTCCAAATTTAAAACAATTGTTTTCATGTAAACATCAGCTTCTAGTCACAAAGATGTGCTTTACATCTGCAGGTCAATCCCAAACCAAGTGCTTTTATTTTAGAGGTATGCTGCAGCCCCTTTAATGCAACATCTGGATCAAGTGCTTCTTTCTGCTGTTTTAATCCAAACAATCAGCCACTAATGATGATTGGACTAAAGAGGACCGTTAGCCCTGGTAAGATCAATCCAGCTAGTCATCACAGCTAAGCAGTTTTCTCCTTCCTAAAGGCAAGTAAGCAGGAGGAAAGCCTGACTTCAGCACGCTGACCATCCGTCTCAGAGACCAGAAACACTTAAGTTAAGGAAAACAGGGTCTGACATGGCTGTTGGGGATTTCTTCTGCACTTTGACCTCTTAAGTTTTCTTGTGATGATCATAACGCAGCCTCGTCAGGACCGGCTAGATGAACTCAGTCAGCTTAGAGGAATTTAGAAATAGTAGATCTGTCGTATCAGTCTCGTTCCAGTTCCTGTAGAAGATTTAGGACTGTAGCGCTAGCATCCCAGCTCTTAGCCAATGGAGTCGCTTCAGCATGTGACTCATCAGCATCAGAGCCCACTTAATGACATCACGATGCATGTTTGTGCGAGCTTGGTCAGAGCCAGCATACCACGCAGTCACAGATGAGAAACCCTCCGCTGGAGGTCTTCAGGACAGTGATGAACGCAGGGACGTGCGTGCGTGATTCGTCACATTGGAGACGGCCTTAAGGGGTGGCGAGGGTCCTTCACATCCTCCAGTTTTCCACGTTGAGTCGGTGTGTGGTTCGTCCCGGAGGCGATGATGATGAAGAACGCTGCCTTTAACTGACGTCTCTACTCCGTATCGACACGATGGCATCAACACAAACGCTGAAAACTCCCAAATCATCAGGAAATGTGTTGATGTTGCAGATTAGAGTCTGTCTGCCTGGCGTGCACCCCCCCCCCCCCCCCCCCCCCACACACACACACACCCAACCCCCTCAAACAAGCACAGCCCAGGAACACACTCCACTGTACTGCTGGCTCGCCCATCACAGGCCTGTGTGTGTGTGTGTGTGTGTGTGTGTGTGTGTGTGTGTGTGTGTGTGTGTGTGTGTGTGTGTGTGTGTGTGTAACCATCACCATCAGAGCACAAATGCAGATTTCCACAAACACTCACCGCCTCCGAGTCTTCAAATCCATGCAGGTACAAATTGTCATACATGGAGGTTTGATATTCCAACCAGCGCCTCTAGAAGAACGAGGGGAAAATGAGAGTGGAGGCGGAGGAGAACGGAGGGGGCACCAGAGAGAGAGAGAGGGAGAAAAAAGGATGGATGGGGGATGACGACAATTCTTCCCCTCCACAGCAGAGAATAATTTAAAAAACGATCTCCCCTCCCGCTGGATCACGCCTGCTCCTCCGGAGGAACGAGATGGATGACACTTCTCCCTGATGCCGGTGTGCTGCCGGCTGCCTCACATTATAGGATGGAGATGCTCTCCGTGGAGGTATTCCAATCCTGGCGTTTCATCTCCATCAGGCTTCCACGGACACAGCGAGCAGCAGAGGCGGCAGAGCTGTGAATCCTTCCTCAATATCTAAGCCGGATGACAGAGTCGGTGTGCTGCCAGCTGATTGGCTGTCGGCCGTCCACTCAGCCTGGATGAGCTCGCCCCCCCCTTTCCCGGTGCGGTGAGGTGGAAGACATCGGGGGAGGGGGCTGAAGGTGCAGAGAGAACCATCTCTCATCTGTTTTATTTATATCCAGACTGAATAAAAGCTTTAATTTATCCTTTTATCTCATGGATCCTTGTTCCATGTTCTCCAGTAGGAACACCTCTTGTTCCTACTGGAGAACATGCATTTCACCACACAGACATGCAGAAATGAGCCAGAACCACATTTTACCAGATTTTCAATCAGAAATGTAAAAAACTCCTATGTTTAAATTCTATTATTAAATATGTTTATAGTCATTTACAGGAAATTATTTTAGTCTCAACATGATATTTATGTTTTACAGGCCAATGATCAAACCAAAGCTGAGGAGGCCAACATGGCGTCCAACATGGCGTTTTAATGCTGACTTGTGTCATCTTCAAACAAACAGCGATGATGAAGAGGTGGAAGAAAGCACGGGGAGACTGTTGCAGCCTCAGCGTAACCAGAGGTCAGACAGAAGAACACGTTAGAGGAGAATGAAGATAATTATTATTTAACGGTCGGGGGTGACCACGGTGGTCCTTGAAGATGTCAGAAACATTCATTTAACACTGAACCCAATAAGAGCTGGTAGCCACCAGCTTTAACTCCTGTGGCCGTTTAGAGAAAGCCACGAGTGAAAATAGTCTCCTACACCTAGCATTAGCATTAGCTTCTGATAGAAAACAGACGGTGAAACTCTAGGATAGAAGATCTCGGCAGATCTACATCACACTGTCACTAACATTCATGGACTCACCCATCTTGGCTCATGACGGGGAACTCTGTTTTTGGTTTAGTGTTCAGGAAGTAGAAGCTAACCGTTAGCATTACCTACTCCACCACACAGCGGAACTCCTCCAGGCTTGTGTTATTGGTGGGGATAAAAAAAAGAGTTGTGTTGCTGTTAGCCAATCAGAGGAGAGGTGTCCACATGCCAGACTGAAGTTTGCCAGAGCAAACGTAGAACAAGACCAGGACTTCTGGAACAATGTTCTCTGGACAGATGAGTCTAAAACTGAATTATTTGGACACCAGAACAGAAGTAATGTTTGGTGTAAACCAAATACAGCCTTCCAACAAAAGAAGCTCATACCAACTGTGAAGCATGGAGCTGGCAGTATCTTGGTATGGTATTTTTTCCTTCATTAAAATACACATTTTTGTTCATATCTTCTTTATGCCTAAGAAAAATGTGGGTTTTTGTTGTTTAATTGCAATTCAGTCACTTTTTTCCCCAGGACAAGAACATCAAGTTCACCAGGAAGGATGTCCACAACAACCAGCTGCCCTTCTAGGACTGCGCTGTGCAAACAGAACAAGATGGAAGTCTCAGCATTGAAGTCTACAGGAAACCATCTCACACAAACCAGTATCTGCATTTGGACTCACATCAACCACTGGAGCACAACATGTCAGTCATCAGGACTTTACACCATCAGGCTAACGTTCTCACAAGGACTGAAGGAAAACACATGAAGAAAGCTCTCCAGAACTGCAGATACCCTAAATGGGCCTTTGCGAAATCTACAAAGAAATCTGGAAAAGCATCCAAAGCAGCAACCAGCAAAGAAAAGGACAACCGTCATCCCATCATGGCAGGAGTCCCAGAGAACCTTAGAAGAATCTTCTCCAAACACGACATCCCAGTAAATAGTAAACCCAACAACACCTTCAGACAGAAACTGGTCCATCCTAAAGACAAACACCCAAACAGAAGCTCAGCGGTGTTGTTTATGCAGTCCAGTGTAGTGAGGACTGTCCAGATGTTTACATCAGGGAAACTAAACAACATTTACATAAGAGCATGGCACAACACAGGAGAGCCACCTCTTCAGGTCAGGACTCTGCAGTCCACCTACAACTGAAGGACAAGGGACACATTCTGGACAGAGACGATAGATGGTTTGAGAGAGGAGGAAAGGAAGCTACTTTAAATGGGGCGGGGCTTAGATTTCACCTTTCCAGTACCTATAATGCAGCTTTGGATCTCATTCCTAAGCATTTTCAGTGTAGGTCACACCTTCCTGCATCTACTCAACACAATGACTCATCAGGATATGGAGAGGTGGGGTACTCAGAGTAGTTTCTGCTCGTTAAATAACAACAGACAGCTACAGCTTATGAACTTGACTCTCCCATACTCCAGTTAGAACTGACAAAGCTCCTCGGATGAAAAGAGAAACGTTTTCAAGAAACCAAACAAGTCCAGTTGCCTTCAGCTGCACTCTTTGGATCACCATGACCTGTATGACCTAACCTTCATCATCACTCGTGTATTAAGAGTCATATTTTTATGTGACTCGAGCTCAGCTTCTTAAAGAGACAACCTACACACACACCTTTTCATTTTTTTATTATTAAAGTTATAGACATGAGAAAAATCATCTCGATAAGAGTCAGAAATTTGATAATGATAAATTTTAGAATTTTTGCCCAGCCCTAGTGTGTGTGTGTGTGTGTGCGTGTGTGTGTGCACGCGTGCGTGCGTGCGCTCTGTATTCTCGATCCCCAGTGAGTCATGGCCGAGACCCCATAATTCGGGTCTGAAATTGAAGCCAACCCGGACCTACCCAAAAATTGCAGTTCCACCCTCATCCACTGGGGGCTGGTGTCAGAAGCGAGCAAATCCTCATTGACTCCCATGTTAAAAATACCAATTTCAAAGCAGAAATAAACATGTTTACAGCCTGGTACCAAAACATGTTTTTTGTTTAAATGATCTAGTTTACACTCATGACAACTCTGAGGGGGGTGATTTTTTTTGTCACTTTTCTGTTTAAGTGTATTAAAAGCCTAAAATTCTGAATAATTAATGAGCATCAGACCCATGTGACCACAGAGCTAGCTCTGGGGAAAGGCCTCAGCCTAAAAACTGTTTCGCCATTTTCAGTCTCTCAACTTAGACCAGTAGTTGTAGCGTTTGTGCAATTGTTGGACAAAATGACTTGCTGTGCGGCTGCCGGCTTGTGGAGCTCTCAGGAGACCTCTGTGTTCCACACGGTTTTACCCAGCGGTCAGCCGGCGTATCTCTGACTCAGAAGCTCCGGTGTTGTGCACAGTTAGCCCTGGTTGTAGCTAGGTAGCTACCTCCGTTAGCTTAGCTCCCACCTCCGCGTTAGCTCTGGGTTAGCTTGTAGCTACATCGCTTCAGTTCGACTGGTGTCGTCATTTGATCCCAGCCTTACAGCCTCACACTCAGCTCCACCTCTTTTCCCTTTTATGGAATTGTCTGGGAGTGATTAATCAATCAATCAATCAATACTTTATTAATCCCAGAGAGAAATTAGAGTTTCAGTACACACAATTCAGAGATCAGACATTCATGAGCAAGACACATAACAAGAATTGGTGACTGTGGTCATTCGCAACCCGAGTTGCGCTACATTAATAGAGATAAGAGGGTAACATGAGGATTGGTTCAGGTGGAGGGAAAAAAAGGCACTTCAGAGTTACCCTCCAGCAGGAGGGCAGCTTTGCTATGCAAAAAAAAAAAAAAAACACCTCAACAGATATGCAACAGACTTAAGACAACACAACATAACATGAGACTCCAATAGGAAGGCGGGGGGGGGGGGGGGGGGGGGGGATCCTGTTTCCCCCAGCGAGAGCAGCCATCTACGGTGCTCATCTACTGAACAGTCACAGGTGGGAGGGAGATCTTGGGAGAAGCAAAGAGCACATTGACTCCTACAGATTGATGACCTCGCCAGGCTGAAGTCCCCCAATCTGAAGGCGGGGGGGGGGGGGGGGGGGGGGGGTGTGTGTCAGGTTTTCACAGCATCTGTCTGCATTCCTTCGTGGGGGATTTTAGTTGCTTGCAGCTCAAGGCTACCAGGGCGTCAGATTCAGATAACAAGAATTTGTTTGGGTCAGGCTGAGATAATTTTCCTCTCTGCCTTCAGTCTTTAAACTGATCATTTCCAGTCCTTCAGTGAAGCCAATTTTGGGTTTTTAAACCTGTCCATACCGTCCGGTGACTCTCTCCGAGATGACATCCATTTTGCGCACTAATACTGGTATCACAGCTAGAACATTGTCCAGATTACGATTCACCTCGAGTAACGTCCCAGTCTGAGAAGTCCCCACACGGACGGTGCTTTCCGCTCCAGTCTTCCCAAATTTCCAGAAAACCAGATATCCTCCCACTCCAATCAGGAGAAATCCAGTGATCATCAGGCCAAATATCCACACGTCTTCGATGTCCTCAGTGGACAGCTGGCTGAGGCATATGATCTTCCACTCCTTCCAGGAATCCAGCATATATCCCACCAGGTGTGTCCCCTGTGGACATGTGGGAGCCCCCTGCTCCGTTCTCATTGTTGAAAAAATCTTATCGATCGCATTGAATGACCAATTTATCAAATCCATGGTTAGTAAAAATAGAGTTTTTCAGAAGAAATGCAGAGAAGCGCTCTGTGGGCAGAAGAGCCTTGGGAAAAAAAGATAAGGGAGCGAAAGAGAGAAGCGTCTGTCTGCTCGAGTGCCTTGATGAGATATGTGACACAATCAAAATGGCGGCGGTGGGAACCTCCCATTTTGGATTAAAAACTTATAATAGGAGCCTATGGATAGTAAATGTCCAGTATATATATGTTGATGGTCCCGACTCGATACGCCAGCAAGTAAAACGGAGAACATTTCCAGGTTGTCCTTTAGGTTTATTACATTTTATACAGCTAATAAAGGTTTACGACGCTAAAATCATTCAGATTAAACTTATCCTACATTAAGCATGTTTCTAAGTGGCCTGGTTGTACGAACATCCACCCTGGAACTGGGAGTTCAACAAGCACCAACGTTGAGTTTAACAGGCAGCGGATTAGCGCCCCCTGCAGTTTGTGGTGATTTCTGCAACACCAACCAAGCATCGCTGAACAGGTTAGTATTCATCCACCCATTTCCTGTACCGCTTATCCACGCTGGCGGCGTACACCCTGGACAGGTTGCCAGTCCGTCACAGGTGAACAAGCTCATATCTGTTCACATAATAGTCACGCTCTCCACGAGGAAC